TTATGATTGTAATATTTTATATCACCCCGGGAAGGCCAACCGGGTAGCCGATGCATTGAGTCGGAAGTCAAGCATCGCACACTTGATGGTCAAGGAATGGGCTTTGTTGGAAAAAGTGCGAGACTCGGAGTTTAGATTCGAAGTAAGTAAAGTCTTGAGCTTGCTAGCCACGCTAAGGATTGAACCAGAGATTCAGACTAAGATTAGGACTTTACAGTTTACGGATCAAGAAATCCAAAGGATTATAGAGATGGATGATACCAAGAGAAAGCCGGACTTCTAGATATCCGAAGACGGGATATTGAAGTTCCGTGGACGATTATGTGTGCCTGACGATGCGGAACTTAAGGAAGAAATTTTGTCGGAAGTGCATCGTAGTAGTTATAGCATCCATCCCGGTAGTACGAAACTGTATTAGAATCTGAGACAGTACTATTAGTGGAATGGCATGAAGGTAGATATAGCTAAGCGTGTGGCTAAGTGCCTGACGTGCCAGCAAGTGAAGGCGCAACATTGTAAGCCCGGAGGATTATTGCGACCTTTGGAAATCCCAGAGTGGAAATGGGAACATATAACTATGGACTTTGTGATGATATTACCAAGGAGCCAAAGAGGCCATGACTCCATTTGGGTGATTGTCGATAGATTAACAAAGTCAGCACACTTCTTGGCTGTGCGAAAGGACTTCGCATTGGATCGGTATGCTGAGTTGTACGTACAAAAATAGTTCGTTTGCATGGGGTGCCAGTGACGATTACCTCAGATCGCGATCCTAGGTTTACTGTCAATTTTTGGAAAAGTCTGCAGACGGCATTAGGATCAAAGCTGCAGTTTAGTACAGCTTACCATCCACAAACGGATAGCCAGTCTGAGAGGACGATTCAGACTCTAGAGGGTATGCTTCGGGCATGTGTGTTGGATTTTCAGGGCAAGTGGGAAGAGCAATTGCCCTTAGCAGAATTCGCGTATAATAATAGTTTTTAGCAGAGTATCGGAATGGCGCCATTTGAAGTGCTGTATGGCAGAGCATGTAGAACGCCCGTGTGTTGGGATGAAGTTGGAGAAAGGAGTATAACCGGGCCAGAATTAGTTCAACGGTCAGTTGAGGCTGTTAAGGTAATTCGTGAAAGGCTGAAAACAGCTCAAAGCCGTCAAAAGAGTTATGCAGACAGAAGGCGAAGACCTTTGGAATTTCAAGTAGGGGATCACGTATTCCTAAAGGTATCGCCCATGACAGGATTGTCCCGATTTGGTAAGAAAATGAAGTTGAGTCCGAGATACGTGGAACCTTTTGAGGTTTTAGAAAGGATTGGAGACTTAGCTTATCGCCTTGCACTCCTGCCAAATTTGTCGCAAGTGCATAACGTATTCCACGTATCGATGTTGAGGAAATATGAACCGGACCTAACTCATGAGTTGAACTATGAAGAGATAGAAGTTGACAACAGGGTGTCGTATGTCGAGAGATCAATAAGGATCGAAGATCGGAAGGAACGAGTTCTGAGGAACAAGACGATCCCGATGGTCAAAGTTGTTTGGGAACATCACGGGACAGAAGACGCGACGTGGGAAAGTGAAGAGCAAATGCAACGTCAACACCCCCACTTGTTTGAGTAGCTAGTTTGAGTTGTAAATTTCGAGGACGAAATTTTTATAAGAGGGGAAAAGTTGTGACATTCTGAAATCCGACCCACTTGGGATTTATGAAATGGATGGTTTTATGAACGTACTTGTATTTAGATCTCGCCCGGAACTGATCATTCCTGGGATACTAACCGTTAGGGAAAGGCTAATTAGGGATTTAAATTCGCGCAACTAAAGAAACTCGATCGTGAATCGACTTTCGTCCATGAAAATTGGCGAGGTGACATTTTGAGCCAATGAAGGCCGATCCAAGGATAGTTAGGGATCAGTTCGCCGCTGTCATGTTAGTGGATCGCGGGTGATTCCGCTTGACCACGAAATGAATTGACGAATGATCCCGAACCTATACCAAACGATCGCGCCCGTCGGAACTAGCGATCGATCCTCGCGATTAAGTGATAACCGAGGTCGTCACGACCCGAGTGAACTTGAACGTGGCTTGATTCAATATCGGCCACGAGTCAACAGTGCGAATTTCTCCAAAAGCCACCCGTTAGTCTGAGATACGCTCAAGTTATGTTATTTAGAACTTAGTCGTTAATTAGAGACCAAGTTGGGCATTGAAAATTTAGAAAGTCACGACAGATCATTTGGACGACGTTGCCATTAGCCTGATCAACCTTAGAATTGTCCGAATCCTTCATAAAAATTGAATTTCGGCGAGAAATGGAAAATGACCGTTTTACCCTTGAGATTTTGTTAAGGCCAAGTATAATGAGGAAGGGCATTTTGGTCATTTCACCCTAGCCTAAGAAATAGAAATTTTTGGACAATTTTGCCCTTGGAAATTTTGTGAAATTCTAATTTTTCCCCTGGATATTTTTGGTAAGAGTTAATCTTGGCCGTCGATCTTAGGATAAGGATTAATCGTGGCCGTTGATTTGGAAAATAGAGAGGAGGGTAGGATGGTCATTTGGCAAGTGGGTAGACACCAATTATTGTTGTAAATAGCCCTATTTCTCTCTCTTTCTCTCTCTCACCCTCTCATTTTTCTCTCATGCCATTCTCTCCCCCTCACCCCCTCTCGGCCGAGCCTCCCCCTCCCACCGTGGCCGTGGCCGACCGGCCAAGTTAGCCCTCGCCGCCATTCCGTCGAGCCACCGTTCGCCCCTCCATCTCACCACACCACCGCCACCACCGTCCCTCTCTCTCTCCTATTTTTCCCATCACCGAAACACCATCACTAGCCTTCATTTCTGTTCAGTCCAGCCGAGGAAGACCAGCAGCTCGTCGCCGTCCGCCATCGTCCGCCCGTGGCCGCCGTGAGCCGCCGGTGGTCCTCGCCGCTTGACGTTGTCGCTGCTACTGTTTCCCCGCTGTTCAGCCACCTTTGAGTGCTCGAACTGGCGTAGGACCTCGAGTAAGTGATATCCTAACCCTCGCCTAGGATAACGGGTATTTTCGGGTTAGTTCGGGACCGTTTTAGCGAGTTTTAGGGGTTAATCGTGGATTAACGGTTGGACTGATTTGGCTGAGTGTTTTGGGTGGAATTGTGATGATTTTTGAGGTGGATTGGAGGTTAGAAATGATTGGTTAGGTAATCGAAACGGTTACGGGTGATTATTGTGACCTATGGCGCGAAAAACGGGCCTAAATGTGCCGTTATAGTGATTTTTGGTGGTGGCCGAATTACTGTTCATGCTGTGACCGAATTAGTACATTTTGGTGATTCAAGTATAGTGCATGTTGGTTTGGGGGTTGTCGGTAGGAGTACGACACCCGTGAATGGTGAAATTTGGCCTAAAATGCGAGAATTCGGGTTAACTTGGCGGACTGATTTGGAGATTGATATTGGCTGATTTGAGGATGAAATGGTGATGTTTCGGGGCTGAATTGAGGCTGAGTTGAGTGCTGGACGTTGTGGATTGAATTGACGAGCTTAGGGCTCGACTTAAGGACAAATGGTGTCGGTTTGGTGTGTGGTAGTGTGGCTAGATTGTGGTGTTTAACATGGCTTGAAATGGGCTTGGAAATGCTGAAATTATGCTATGATTGTGGCTATGATTATGGGCCCGTTAGTGGCCTTGTATGTTTGTTGAATCGTGAGTTGATTGATTTAAATGTGGGTTATTATGTGCACGCATGGGCTGAGTTGAATCGATTGTCAATTGGCCGTATTTGGGTGCTTATTAAGCATGAAAAATATGTGTGGTTTGGTGCGTGCACGAGCCAAGTTTGATCGGCTAGTATATTGGCATGTTGATGTGTGAATCGAGCGAACGAATAAGTGAGAAATGGTGTGTGAGGTTGTATGTGTGATTACGAAAATCCCTGAGGCAGTACCACTACGGGGGGAATTGATCCGTCCTGAGGCGGTACTACTACGCGGGACGATGCCCGGTATTACCGGAGGACGACCAACCTGAGGCGGTACCATTACGCGGGTTGTGTCGTAGGTGGTGGATGTTGAGCCTGAGGCGGTACCATTACGCGGGCAAGATACATGGCCTAAGGCGGTACCATTACGCGCGCCACGAAGTGTTGTGAATATGAGTTGGTCGCAGTGAACCTGAGGCGGTATCACTACGCGGGTCACTGGCGAGTTGAGTAAAAAGAATGTGATGAGGCAGGAATGAGTGCGTGAAATATAATTAGAATGCGCATGTGGTTGGAAATTATGCTATTGTGGCTAACGTACAGGTTGCACACAAGACAGTCCCAGGTAAGTGTAAATTGTGTGCCTGTTATGGGATGGTTGAGTGTGTTTGTGTTTTAACTTGTCTGGAGGTACGTGTTAGCCTAGATGGGGTTTAGGGTATTACTTGCTGAGACGTGTTCTCATGGTTGTTTCAACCAAACAAATTCAGAACCCTGGCCCGAATCATGAATCTTCCACCGCCGCCACCTCAACGTTTTGGATTACCGATGCACACCGACCATAATGTGGTAGAGTACCCGACTGAGATCGAGGCTGATTCGGAGTCCTCAGAAGAGCAAGTGGCTCAGAGAGATTCAAACTTGGGTTCTGGGGAGTCGGACTCAGAGTGGAGGCCATCCATGGGGCGTAAGGGCTAGTCTTAGGGATAGAATGAAGGTTTGCAGTGTCCCATTTTTTGAGTTAGGGTACCCAGGCTACTAATCTTTTTGATATCGGTGGTGTATAGTTTAGAAGTTCGGTGTGCATGTATATTATGTGGATTGTATATGGTGGATATTATATAAGTTTGACTAAGTAATGGATGTTTATTCTCCCTTGTACCCCTGGTCAAATATTGTCTAGGTGTTTGTGGCTTTCGCTGGTGCTTTATATCTCTGATGAGTTGATTTGGGTCGGCGATATCTTGGGACGTCGTGATATTCGACCAAAGAGGTGTGTCGCGTGCTCGATGGGGTTCGGGGCGTGACACTGCCAACTTTTACTCTCGGGCACTTTTCGAGAAATACTTGCCATTAAAAGACTCAGTGAAAATTATCCAAGTCGGAGTAGTACCAGCAGGGAACACTTGGCCTCTTGTGGCTCTCCACCAGTCGCTTGCATTTTCCTGAAGCCGGTATACTGCTAGGGTTACTTTTTCCTCTTCAGTGCATCCCAGCACTTCGAAAGCTTTTTCTAACTCTTCCACCCATCGAGGTGCAGCCTCAGTATTACCTCTACCATCGAACCTCGGAGGCTTCAGCTTCAAAAACTGCTCAACCAGCTTAGACATCGGCCTATTTGCATTTACTTGGCCTTGAGCGGGATGCCCACCATTCTCGTCGTTACCATTGTTTCCATTGGCGGCGACTACAGCGGCCTTAGTAGCAACAGCGACAGTAGCATTCCGCTCTTTGGTCTGTCTACCCATTAAAATCCCGACTTCTTGTAGTACCCTCAAAATTCCATCCACCCAGGGATCCTCTGCAACTCTAGTTTGCGGGGCCACACGACCTCGACCTCAACCTCGACCTCGACCTCTTCCTCGACTGCTCATTCTCACTGGGTTCTCACACTCGTCTACCTGCTATAATTCCATTCAGGAATTAGAGACCTAGGCCAACTATACCAGTCTAAAGCCCTAGGCAGTGAATCACAACAACAATTCACTAAGCAGGTAGCTAATCACATACAACACTCAATCGCAGCCAACATGGTTCGTGCACTTACCTCAAGTCCTAACGCACCTGCACTTCACACACTAATGCATAAGATCACTCAGCAACCACAATCACACAGTCTGGGGTACGCATGGCACACGAGTCTCCCTAACTGGCTACCCCCAAGTCATCGCTCCTTATCACTCCAGGTTTCGACCAACTTGGATCGAGCAGACCTGCTCTTATACCAAATCAAATGGGATGTCACGCTCCGGACCCTAACGAGCTCGTGACACTCCTTCGACGGTCGTATTGAACGCGATATCCTAGGACGTGTCGCCGACCCAAACGACACACGCAAAGACATACGCAAGCGGAAGCGGAAATCAAACAACCCAGACAAATAAACAATGACGAAAGGATAGTACTTGCACAAATCAATAAACCCATATCATTAGCAAGAGGCCAAAAATATTCATACATTAGGCTCCTAGGGTTAGCATCTACCTTCATCATCAAAAAGGGACAGGTGGTAGGGTAGACTACGGAATACACAAAAAGGGGCTCTACCAAAAGGCTTCTACGCCCAGCACCCCAATACTCCTACAGTGCCCAATCTAAATCAGATCCTAAAGACTCAGACTCCATGTCAGAGTTGATCTCGATCGGCTCATCCTCGTGCTCGGACTCCATAGGCTCCTTCTCGGGCTCGGGCTCAAGTTCTGGTTCTTCAAATTCCTCCTCGAGCTCGAGGTCCGCGCTACGGGTTCTGGTACAGGCTCGGGTTCTGGACCAGGGTTCTCCAGGGGATCTTCGGCGTCCAAAACCTCGCCATCGGGAGCATACACGTCCCCGGGCTCCCAATCTACGGCATCTTCGTTGCCGTGCTGCTGGCCCTCAAAACCCCAGATTGGGCCAATTAACTCCAATCCATCCTGATAGAACCAGGCCAGGTAAGTGTGGCGCTGCAAGTCCGCTAGGCCCACATCTACCGAGACTGAAGTAAGGTGCCTAATGTAAGTCTGATTGGGACCTACCGGATACTCGGTCTCCTCATGCATTGTATGCATAGGGACCCCAAAACGCCGAGGCAGCGGCATGATCAAGGTCGGGGTTGGGGATCTGAAATGGTTTGCACTACAGTAATGAGAATAAATATCAATAAGCAAACAACCTATACCCCACCTAGGCCAATGCGTACCCAGACGAGTCTAACATGCGATCTAACAACCAACACATTCGAATCCACACAAACATACTTACCTCGCCTTAAATCAAATGCCAACTCTGCATATTAGTTAAATCACCATAATACAATAATAATTCAAGAACATAACATAAACACTCAAACACTATAACCACGTACATTCACCCAATTTAACCAAACACATTTTGCATGGGTGGCCAAGCAACTATCCACGACCCGCGTCAACACGCCTCAGGTCCATTCTCATAGCCCGAGTTAACACGCCTCAGGCTTAGCCCTCCGATCAATCCGGGCTCAGTCCCGCGTAACCACGCCTCAGGACATTTCTCTCGACCCGCGTAACCATGCCTCAGGTTGGCAGCCCTCCGATCGATCCGGGCTCAGTCCCGCGTAACCACGCCTCAGGACATTTCTCTCGATCCGCGTAACCACGCCTCAAGTCATTTCTTGCCTTTCTAGCCACACCCGCATAACTACGTCTCAGGTTGGCAGCCCTTCGATCGATCCGGGCTTGGTCAAGCAAACACACACGCCACTTAATTCAATCAATTTTCACGCCATAGTCAAGCTTCAATATCATTGAATCATCTCAACCCACTGCTCACACAAACCAACCATACTTAGCACCCAAATTCACTCCCAAGCACCACAATGAACCGGCCACGCAAACAATCACCAACACATCACATTTCCATGCACTTTCCAACCATAGGCTCCACAACATTAGTCCATAATCCCAGCAATTCAATCAGCCAAGAACAGCCACTAATTGGCCTCCAAATCACCACAAATCATTCTACAATCAGCCATATCCATTAACCACTAAACCAACCCTAATAACCCCTAAACAAGTCTATTAATACTCAATGTACTAGATAAGGTTTAGAGAGTCACTTACCTAAGTCCAAAACCAAGGGGGAACCAAGTAAAAGCCAGCAAAAGGCTGGTCGGAGCAGCGTCGGGCTCGGCACGGCACGGGCACAGCAGCAGGCAAAGCCCTCGGCACTGCGCTCGGCCATAGCCGGGGCACTCGGCACAACACTCGGCATGGCGCTCGCCCACGGCCGGCGAGCGGGCAAGCGGGCCGGGTGAGCGGCCGGAACAACTGGGCGAGCGGCACAGCCACGGGCGAGTGGCTGGGCGCGACGGGCGACACGGCCGGCGAGCAGCTGATGCGCGGCCGGGCGAGCAAGCAGGCGAGCGGGCGACTGCTGGACAGTCCAGGGCGAGCAGCTAGGTAACTCCGGGCACGGCCAGGACGGTGACCAGGCGAGCTTGGCCGGTGAGCTGGGGCGGCGGTCGGACAGCGACGGCGAGCTCGGCCAGGTGAGTTGCAGAGCGGCCGGCAAGCTGGGTTAGCGGCCGGCGAGCTGGGATGGCAAGCTAGAGAGCGGCCGGCAACGGCGACGGGCTCGGCCAGGCGAGCTGGGCGAGCTGAGTGCCGACGGGACGAGCAAGCTGATCGTGCGAAGGGGAGGAGAAGGACAGCCGAGTCGGGGGAGACGGTTGGACAGACGGCGCGGCAGCTGGGCGAGCTGCAGCGCAAGGCGGATGGCGGACGGTGGCTGGGCTGGTCCCGACGAGCGGCAGTCGGTCGGTGAGCAGCAAGAAGAAAGGAGCAAAAGCAGCGGCCAAGAGGAAGGAAAAGAAGAGGAAGAGAAGAAGAAGAAGAAAGAAGAAGAAGAAGGAAAAGAAAAGAAAAAATGAGGAGAGAGAGAGAGTTTGCATGGAGAGATGGGGGAGGGGATGTGCGCGTAGGGAGGGGGTGCGGCAGAGGAAAGAGAGAGAGAGAGAGAGAGAGAGAGAGAGAGAGAGAGAGAGAGGGACAAAAGTCAACGCAATGAGTGTGATCCGACGGTCCACGTTCAAACTCGAAATCGATCTAATGGTCCACGAAAAATCCTAATTATAAATTAGGATTTGGCCAAAAGACACTAAATAAAACACACTACGAGGGAGGTCTACTTGTCCAAATTCGCATCCGGTCAAAATTTCACTTTTCACCAATCCCAGGCAATATCGACGCTGGCCACAATAATATCGACACCGTCCAATTAAATTCGTCACGAAATTCTGAGAAATTCGACATCAAAGTTCGGGCTCTAAATAACGGCCAAATTCGATCGAATGCGATTCTAGCGAAATCTCAAATTTAAAATAACCCGAGAGTGATCAGTTCTGGGCGAGATTTAACTATAAGCGCACTGACGAAATACACGTTTTATAAATCCCAAAAATGGATCGAAATTCGGAATGTCACATAGACCGTAACTAAACTTTCACGAATGTGCGAATTCATTGATTGATGGAGGACGCGGAGCTTCACCCACGAAATTAGGAATACTATCTTTATATGATACAACAACCTTTGAAGTAGGGAGCGCTATCCCTATTGCCATATATGTGGGATCTAATCCTAACTAAAGGGTTGTGTTGACATGTTGCATTCACAGCCCATGAGAAAGAGATTCTCAAGAAAAATATACTGTGCGCAAACTCATTGTTTAAACAAACAAGCTTGATCTAATAATAGTCTAGTCCTCTCGTACTAGCATGACCCGAATTAGGAGATACTAAGTGCATCTTTTGAGCAACTGTCATTTTGGCATGGAAGGATATGTATAATGTGTCATTATGCTGAAACATACTAGAGACAACAAAAATTTGAACTTCAAAAAAGTTCACAAGTATATTTCTTCTCTAATATGGATAAGCGTCAACACAACAAGTGCAAGATCATCTTAATGATCAGTAACCTACTGTCGGGTTAATTCAAGAAGAGAAGACCACAAGCGAGAGAGAGCTGAAGATCAGTAACCTCGTCCCTGCCCAGCACGACTCACCATTGCACGTCTCGCCACCGTGCGTCACGCCGACCAGCTCGCTCGCCGGCCAGCCCAGCCACTCGCACAGCTCGCCGTCGCCACCACCTCCCCAGCTCCCCCTCTCGCCCATCGCCGCTACCCTGCTCCCCTACTGCCCGTCGCCGCCGCCGTCGCTCGTCGCCACCGCCATGCCTCCTAGCCAGCCCAGCCGCTCGCCCAGCTCGCCGACCGCCTGCCCGGGCATTGGCCGAGCACGCCTGGCTGTCCCTGCCGTGGCCGGACTGTCCCCGCCGTGGCCGAGCCCGTCGTCCGAGCGCCTGGCCGCCGTCCCGGCCGTGGCCAAGTAGCCCAGCCGCTCGCCGGTCATCGCCCAGTCGCTCGCCCATCGTCACCCAGTCGCTCGGTCATCCGTGCCCGAGCCGTCCCAGCCGCTCGCCCGTCGCCTGGCCGAGTGCCCTGCCGTGGCCGAGCGCCTAGCCCGTGGCCGAGCGCTTTACCGGCCGCTGTGCCCGTGCCGTGCCGGGCCCGACGCCGCTCCAACTGGCCTTTGCTGGCTTTTGCTTGGTCTCCCTTGGCTTGGACCTAGGTAAGTGATTCCCTAAACCCTACTTAGTATAATGAGTATTATTAGACTCGTTTAGGGGTTGATTAGTATCGGTTTAGTGGCTAAGTTAAGGTTATTATTGATGTTTGAATGTGGCCCGTTGGTAGACTAAATTGCAACGATATTGTGGCTAGTTGGTAGATTAAATTGTGGTGAGTTGTGGCTAAATTAGTAACTGATTGAGATGAGTTCGATGATTGGGCTGTCGTGGCGTTTGTGGGTGAATTGGATATTTAAATATGGCCGACTTGAACGTCGAATTTATGGGCTATTGTGGGGAGTTCATGACTTGGAATTGGGCACTTGAGATGTGTTAGAATGATGGTTGAGCAATGTGGCTAACTTGTGATGCCTTGAGGAATGAATTTGATACTTGCATGGATTAATTGGAATGAGTGGCGGTTGATCATATTATGGCGTTGTTTGAATATGTGATTGACGTGGAATGGATTGAATTAAGTGGCGTGTGTGTTTGCTTGACCAAGCCCGGATCGATCGGGGGGCTGCCAACCTGTAGGGTGTTGACCCGGATTGTGAGAAAGGACCTGTGCGGTGTTGACCCGGGTCGTGAGAAAGGTCTTGAGGCGCGTTGACGCGGGACAAAGCCCGGATTGATCGGAGGGCTGACCTGAGGCGTGTTTACGCGGGTTGTGAGAATGTGAGAAAGGATCTGTGGGGTGTTGACCCGGATCGTGAGAAAGGTCCTGAGGCGTGTTGACGCGGGACAAAGTCCGGATTGATCGGAGGGCTACCAGCCTGGAGCGTGTTGACGCGGGTGGCGAGAAAGGACCTGTGGGGTATTGACCCGGGTCGTGTGAAAGTCGGATGGATGTGCATGTGTAATGTAATTGGTTGAATTGGATGAATGCACGTGTGTATGACGCTCGGGTGATCGTGATATGTGCTTGGGTTATTATTGCATTATAGTGTTTGACTAATGTGCAGAGTTGGCGTGTGATTGGAGGCGAGGTAAGTGTGTTATGTGAATTCGAATATGTCAATTGATAGATTGCATGTTGGGACTCGTCTGGGTATGCATTGGCCTAGGTGGGGTTTAGGTTGTCTGCTTATTGAGATTTATTCTCATTGCTGTAATGCAAACCATTTCAGATCCGCGATCGTGACCAAGTTGGAGACGCCGTCAGGGTACCATCGGGACCGGGGATAGGTTGGGTTACCCTGTCTTTTGAGCGCCCCGTTTTGTAGAGGAGATAAGTTTGACAACCACCGCCCCTTTTGATGAACGTGATTTGAAGTTAGTAGTCTGGATGGTGGTGGTGTAAATGAAGGTTGTAAGCCTGTGCCAAGTATATGAAATGCGTTTATTAATTTGTGCTAGTGATATCCCTTTGTTATTATATACTATCTGGGTTGTCATGATTCGCTTCCGCTTGCGTACGCCTTTGCATGTTTTGTATGGGTCGGCGATGCGTCCTGGGACATCGCGTTCGATACAACTGTTGTAGGGGTGTCACGAGCTCGTTAGGGTTCGGGGCGTGACATCAAAACTAATCTTTAATTTGCGATGGACATCTTGATTGGGAACTAAATCTAATTTCTTCAATGTGGCATTCCAAAGTGATTTACTGAATGCCACACAGAGAGGAACCGATGACCTCAAGAGCCGAAGGAAGTCCACCAGTTTTTGCGTAAAATATCAAGAGAAATATGATAATAATTATGTGGAGGGGAATCCATTTCGAATGCATGCTTACTGAAAAGTTGAAGAGCATGACGATGGCACAATTCTCTCATTTCATAGATTTTAAACTCTTCAAAATGAATTTGGACATTATTTTCTCGATTCCCCTCTTTGATCAGCAAAAAGTTGGTGTCCCTCGTCGTAATCATAATTCTGCTCCCAAGACCAAACCAATCACGTTTTTCTGCAAATTTTAAGAGTTGGTCGCACTTATCTACGTCATCAAGAACAATGAGGACTTTTTTGTTGCGGAATCTCCTTTTATTTTGGTAAATCCCTGCATCACAGTAAAAAATCTCCACTGGTCTGAAGTTGAGAATTTCTGACAATAATTGCTTTTGCAATTGGACGACTTTGACATCCTCTGAAGCTTCTCGAACATTGGAAAGAAAGCTACACCCATCAAACCAACTAGAAATTTGGTTAAAGACAACCTTCGCACGAGTTGTCTTATTGATGCCTCCCATATTGTGAATTACAAGATATCGAACATCAGGAGAACCTTCATCTAACAGGTGCACGACTTCTTCAACACGATCATGAATTCCAACTACATAATTGGGTAGATTTTTCTCTCTCTCATTCAACTTGATCAAAACTTCAGAACCGATTAATCTAATGACTTCGCCTTGGCTGTCATATTTGATAGAAAGGGTCTAGTCAGAAAGATCACAATTAGAATACTAACCTATCAAGTTTAGGAATATTGTAAATCAAATATAAACCAGCCACGAAGGGAGGAGAGGCAAGCAGGGGCGACCGCCCCAACCCAACAAATGTTGTACATAGACTTTGCAGATCTATAGGAAAAAATTAAATGACAAGTAGAGATTACTTGTAATTTATGTATAGTTTCAAGCTCTAACTGTTATTTTTTAAAAAATGAAAATCCATGTCAATTTACTTAATATGATTTGCAATTAAATATTTTATTCAATGGTCAAAGATGTAAATTGTTATGATAAGAATGAAATCTTAAACTTAATAAAAGATGCTCCCTCATCCGTAAATTGTAAAAGTCCAAACCTTTTATCTTCCTTTAAATATATGCACAGGATTTGTTTAATCCTTTTTATTGCTCACATCTACTATGTCCTCTGTTTTCTACGTTTGAAATGGATTAAAATAGTAATAGCTAGAACCATCGTTTTCAATATCAAAACCACAAAAATTGATCTAAAAGTTTAAAAAATATATCTTATTCTATCTAAAAGATGCAACTTTGTTGGAATAATAAAATTTGGAATTGATATTCAAATATGTCTTGAAGGATTACATAATATTTATAGACCCTTTAGATAACTAGAACAATTAAAAACTATCTTGAAAACAAGCAACAATAAGTAAACATTAATTTCTTTGATAACAATTTCCAAGACTCCAAATCTCTAGATAATAATTGCAAGAATCCAATTCACGAGATAAGCTTGGATTACGAAAAGTCTTTTTTATTTCCAACAGCCTCCCTTAAACCGAGCTCATCTTGACCATGCCGATCATTCTCTTGAGTTTAAGGAAGGAGTCTGTCTTCAACAGCTTAGTAAACATGTCAGCCACTTTATCACGCCCCGAACCCCATCGAGCTCGCAACATCCCTCTTCGGTCGAACTAGTGCGACGTCCCAAGAAACGCCGCCGACCCAAACCAACACGTCAAAGATAAAGCACTAGCGAAAGCCACAAAAACCCAGACAATAATTGACTAGGGGTAACAGGGAGAATATACATCCATTACCGATTCAAACTTATATAATATCCACCATTTATAATCCACATAATATACATGCACACCGAGCTTCCAAAATTTACACCACCGACATCAAAAAGATCAGTAGCCTGGGTATACCCTAAAATCCAAAAATGGGACACTTCAAACCCTTCACTCTACCCCTCGACTATCCCCTACGCCCTCTAGACGGCATCCACTCCGATTCAGTCTCCCCGGAATCCAAATCTGAAATCCCCTGATCAACCTACTCCTCGGAAGATTCCATATCCGCCTCGATCTCAATCGGGTTGTCTTCATCCCCCGACTCTATCGGAACCTCAATTCTTTCCTCCTCTTCAGACTCCTCTTCTGGCTCTTCCTCTGGCTCATCCTCTGGTTCCTCCTCCGGTTCCTCTTCAGGCTCTTCTTCGGGCTCTTCCTCTTCGGGTTCCTCCTCTGGCACTGCACCTAGATCCACATCCATCGGATCATACCCTGCCTGTGATTCCTCCGGCTCCGAATCAGGCTCAGCTACTGAAGGTTCGGGTGCTGCGGGTATGTGCTGATGTCCTGACTGGGCGAGACTAGTATCCAGGCTAGTCATCTCACCATCGGGAGGGGGTATGGCCGACGAATCCCAATCCCCTACTCTGTCAAAGGGAACATCAAAGCCATGGATGGGGCCAAACTCATCCATCCCATCCCGAAAACACCAGGCAGTATAGGTGTGGGCCTGCCAGAGGGGTTGCCCTATGTCTACCCAGACTACGGTAGAATGCTTGATCCAAGCCATATTATCATCTATCGAATACTCTACAACTGCATGGTCGGTGTGCATCGGTAATCCAAAACGCTCAGGCGGCGGTGGTGGGAGATTCATGGTTCAGGCCGGGGTTCTGAAATTGTTTGGTTGAAACAACCATGAGAACACGTCTCAGCAAGTACACACCCTAAACCCCACCTAGGCTAACACGTAACTCCAGACAAGACCAAACATAATATCACCCAATAAACACACATCATGCACACAATTGCATTTACCTGGGCTTTTGATATGCGCAATCTGCAGGTTAGTCTCAATTACACAATTCCCAACTACATGCACACTCCCAATTAATTTCCATGCCCACAGACAAAGTCAAATATATGCCATTTCCAAGCTCGGCATTTCGCACACACTCGTTTATGCCTCATCACACTATTATCATTTGACTTGCTAGCAACCCGCGTTACAGTACACGCCTCAGGCTCAACATCCACCACCTACGGCACAACCCGCGTTGAAGTACACGCCTCAAGACGGCACAATTCCCCGCGTTACAGTACACGCCTCAGGGACTCTCGTGACCACACGCACGACATACCACATAAATTTCTCATTTAATCACTCGCTCGAACCTCATACGGACATGCTCGACTTACACACCAACATGCCAAATTATTAGCTGATCAAATTCAGCCCATGCACACGTCGAACCTCACGCATTTCACATGCTCAATTAACACCCAATCATGGCCAATTGCCAGTCAATTCAATTCAGCCCATGCATGCATATAACGGTCCACATTTCAATCAATCAATTCACAATCCAACGAGCATACAAGGCCGCCATTGGACCCACAATCACAGCCACAATCATGAGCATAAACTCAACATTTCCATGTCTATTTCAAGCCATAATGAGCACCACAACCAGCCACGACACCACGCACATCAAACCGACACATTTAGTCCCCAAATCGGACCATATTGCTCATCATTGCGAGCCACAATTTTCAGCACCCAATTCAGCATTAAATCAGCCCCGAAACCATCACAAATCCATCCACAAACCAGCCAAGTTCAACCCCCAAATCAGTCCACCAAATTAACCCCTAAACAATCTCTAATTCACCCAAATCGGCCCCTAATTAACCCGATTCAGCCTCTAATTACGTCCGTCGATACTCGATATCCTAAATAGAGTTTAGGATGCCACTTACTTGTAATCCTAGTCTAGCTTGGGCTGAAGGAAGGGGCGGCAAGCCGGCGGCCACTCGATGAGCATACGGCGACGGCGGCTGTGGCTGGACGGTCTGCTGGTTCACCTTAGCTGGGGCTAAACCGAATGAGAGCTGTGATGGTGTTCGGTGAGGAGGAAAACAAGGGAGAGAGAGAGTGACGGTGAGGCGTGGTGGTGTGAGGCGAGCGGCCACGGCGGCGGCGGTGGCTCTGGCATGCGGCTGATCCGGCTCGGCGGGGAAGCGACGGCGACGGCTGGCCACGGTCACAGCAGGGTGGGGGAGGAAGCTCGACCGGGAGGGAGAGAGGGAGAGAGATGCCGAGAGAGTGAGAGAGAGTGAAAGGGAGAGAGAGAAATTGGAAATAAATATTAAGAGCACCAATAATTGGTGTCTAGCCCTTGCCAAATGACCATCCTACCCCTCTCTCTATCTCCAAACCAACGGCCACGATTTGATCTTATCCTAAGATCAACGGTCTAGATTAATCCTTGCCAAAAATATCCAGGAGCAAAATTGGAATTTCACAAAATTTCCAAGGGCAAAATTGTCCAAAAATTTCTATCTCTAATGTAGGTGTGAAATGACCAAAATGCCCCTCTCCCATTATACTTGGCCTTAACAAAGTCCCAGGGGTAAAACGGTCATTTTCCATTTCTCGCCAAAATTCGAATTTTCTGAAGAATCTGGACAAATCTGAGGCTGACCGATCTAATAACAACATCGTCCAATTATCCTGTCGTGACCTTCATAATTTCCAATGCCCAAACTTGATCTCTAATTAATGATTAAATTTAATTAACGTAACTTGAGCGTATCTCGAACTAACGGGTGGCTTTTGGGGAAATTCGCACATTTGACCCGTAGCCGATACTGAATCAAGCCACATTTAAGTTCACTCGAGTCGTGATGACCTCGGTTGTCACTTAATCGCGAGGATCGATCGCTAGTTCCGACAGGCGCGATCGTTTGGTATAGGTTTAGGGTCATTCGTCAATTCATCTCGTGGTAAAGCGGAATCACTCGCGATCCACTAATATGACAGCGGCGAATTGATCCCTAACTATCCTTGGATTGGCCTACATTGGCTCAAAATGTCACCTCGACAATTTTTATGGTTGAAAGTCGATTCACGATCGAGTTTCTTTGGTCGCGCGAATTTAAATCCCTAATTAGTCATTCCCTATTGGTTAGTATCCCAGGAGTGATCAGTTCCGGGCGAGATCTAACTACAAGCACGTTCATAAAACCATCCATTTCATAAATTCTAAGTGGGTCAGATTTCAGAATGTCACACACTTGATCTTCCGACTTGCAAAACTGTAACACAATCTCCTCGGACTTCACCAGATCTCGAATGAAATGATACTTTATATCAATGTGCTTACTTCTTCCATGAAAGACCGGATTCTTTGCAAGCGCAATTGCTGACTTATTATCGCAATTAATCACCGTCGAATGCTCCTGCTTATGGCGTAATTCAGCAAACATCAAACGTAGCCAAACTGCTTGAGTAGCACAATAAGCCGCTACTATGTATTCCGCTTCTGCACTGGACAAAGCAACCACCTGTTGCTTCTTCGAGGATCAAGAAAAAATTCCATTTCCTAAAGAGAAAACATAACCGAAAGTACTCTTCCTTTCTCCAATATCACCTCCCCAATCACTGTCTGTATATCCCATAAGCTGAAAATCATTAGAAACAGTGTAGAATATACCATCATCCACAGTACCTTTAATGTACCGTAGAATTCGTTTTACCACATGCAAGTGTGATTGTCTAGGAGTTTCCATAAATATGCTTACCATCCCAACACTATAAACAAGATCTAGTCGAGTAGAAGTCAAATATCGTAGACTCCCGACTAGCCTCTTGAAATATGTGGGATCGACTTCGGAGCCACTTCCATCTTTTGTCAACTTCAATCTTTCCTCCATTGGAGTGCTAATTGGTTTACAAGTAGCCATCTTAAAACGCTCAAGAATATCCTTGGCATACTTTTGTTGACAAATAAAAATACCATCCTCCGATTGTGTAACTTCAAGGCCGAGAAAATAATACATGAGACCCATGTCCGCCATCTCAAACTCACAAGTCATGGCCTCCCTGAAATCAGAAATCATCTCTGGACAAATTCCGGTAAATATGAGATCATCAACATATAGGCAAACAATGAGCATCTCACCGTTCAAGCCAATCTTCACATATAAAGCATGCTCAAAAGGACATCGGTCAAAACCATGATTCATGAAATAAGAATCAATTCTGGAATACCATGCTCGCGGTGCTTGCTTGAGACCGTAAAGAGCTTTCTTCAATTTGTAGACGAAACCCTCTTGTCCTTTCTTGACATACCCCTCGGGTTGATCCACATACACCTCCTCCTCAAGTACGCCATTGAGAAATGCGGACTTGACATCCATTTGGTGTATTTTCCAACGTCTTTGAGCAGCCAAAGCAAAGATCATGCGAATAGTATCCATTCTTGCAACCGGAGCAAATACCTCAAAATAGTCAATCATGAGTTTTTGTTTGTAACCCTTGACTACAAGACGAGCCTTCAACCGATCAACATCACCATTAGGCTTGTACTTGGTCTTATAGACCCATTTCATGCCGATGGACTTCTTGCCTTCTGGAAGAGAAGTGAGCTCCCACATATCATTTTTCTCAATCGCATATATCTCATCATCCATAGCACGAACCCAACCATCATCTTGGGAAGCCTCCTTAAAGTTTGTCGGATAACAATCTGCAAAGAGAGCAAAATTAATAATTTCTTCATCAGAGGGATTATCATCATTGGACAAAACACAATCCCTCAAACGAGTTGGTAAAACTCGTTCTCGCCGTAGACGTGCGGACGTTTCAGCAGAATCCGATTGAATTTCTGCTATCGGAACAGATTGCACCAATGCCGCTACTAGTTCAGATTGACTATCTGAATCGGGTTGAACCGACTTCTCCTCATCCAGGACAAAGTGAAACTGCTTCTTTTCCTCCGCGCTCTAAGTCCACTCACCTTCCTCATCAAAGGTGACATCTCGACTGATAACGACTTTCTTTGTTACCGGATTATACAACCGATAACCCTTGGTCTCATTACTGTAACCAAGGAAGATGCACTTCTCACTCTTCTCATCAAGCTTCTTGCGAAGCTCATTTGGCACATGGGCATAAGCAATACACCCGAACACACGAAGATGCTGAACTGAAGGGATTCGACCACTCCACACCTCCGCCGGAGTCTTGAACTCAAGACCTTTAGTAGGACACCGATTCAACAAGTAAACAGCACAAGCAACCGCCTCCGCCCAGAAATGCTTAGGCAATTATTTGGAACAAAGCATGGTACGAACCATATCAACAATAGTGCGGTTTTTTCTCTCCGCTACTCCGTTCTGTTGAGGAGTATACCGTGCTGTCAATTGATGCTTGATGCCGCACTGTTTGAAGAAGCCATCACCAACCAAATATTCTGTGCCACGATCAGTTCGGAGAATCCGAATTTGGTGCCCACTTTGTTTTTCTACATAGGCTTTGAACTCCTTGAAAGCATCAATGGCGTCGGACTTGTGCTTCAAGAAATAAACCCATGTTTTCCGGCTAAAGTCGTCAATGAAGGTAATAAAATACTTGTACCCTCGATTTGACGATTCACATAGCGGTCCGCAAAGGTCGGAGTGCACTAACTCCAACGGCTTTGAAGCTCTCCATGATTGTCCCGAAGGGAAGCTGTCTTTGCACTTTTTTCCAATAACACATGGTTCACATATCTCCTTCGGAGAAGAAATTTCGGGTAGTCCATGCACCATCTTCTTTCGAGACAACAGCTTCAAGCTGTCAAAATTCACATGCCCAAACCGCTTGTGCCAAAGCCATGAAGAATCTTGCACCGAGGCACTAAAACACGAGGTAGCATAATTAATATACAAAGGAAAAAGTCGATTTCGAGCCATTTTTACCTTCGCAATCAACCCTCCTTTGCCATCATGAATCGTGCAAAGCTCATCCTTAATGGTCATGTGATAGCCTCGCTCGGACAATTGTCCCATGCTTAGGAGATTTTCTCGAAGACCGGGAACATAATGAATGTCGGAAATGCTTTGAACCGACCCATCCTTCGCCTTGATTTTAATTGTCCCCTTTCCCATGATAGGGACTTTGGCATTATTCTCGAACCTCACCTCCGAACAAAAGGTGTCATCAAGTTTTGAGAATAATTCCTTCTCGCCGTACATGTGATTGCTACATCCGGTGTCTAAGTACCAAATGTTCTTCTGGATTTCCACCGCAGCATCACACGTGAATAAAAGAGCATTGTCATGCTCATCGTCGCTATCAACAAATCTTGCTACCTTGGCATGAAACTTTTGACCACCAATCTTCTTGCTTCGACAATCAGATTGGTAGTGCCCATACTTTTTACAATTAAAACATTGAATATGGGACTTATCTTTTCGTTGTCCAGAATGCTTCTCTTGCCACTTTTTATCTTTCCTTTGATTAGAAAGTTTCTTCTTTTCATCGGGCAACACCAACTAGCTTTGTAGAGCTTCCTCTACCGTCCTGGATTTCTCCTTGAGTCGATGGTCGTGCATTTGTAGAGAGCCCATCAACTCATCAACTGTCAAAATAGAGAGATCCCGAGACTCTTCAATGGAAGTCACAATATATTCGAACTGCAAAGTTAGCGTCCGAAGAATCTTCTCAACAATCTGTTGGTCACCAATAGTCTCACCATTGGCCTTCATTTGATTGACAAGAGCCAATGTCCGTGAGAAATAGTCGGAAATGGACTCCGACTTTTCCATTTGAAGGAGCTCGAATTGTCGACGAAGAGTTTGAAGCCGAACCTTCTGGACCATATTTTGATGAGAGAGTCCCAAGCTTCTTTTGCCGTTTTCGAATTCGCCACTTTTTCAAAGATTGACGAATCTATCACTTGAAAGATGTAAAAGAGAGCCTTACGATCTTTCTTGCGATTTTCTTTTATCGTCCTTTGCTCCTCCGTTGTCAAATCTGTCGGCGTTTCTGGCTCCACGAATCCTTCTTCCACAATCTCAGTCAGCTCTTGAAACCCGAATAGCACCTCCATCTGGATCTTCCAATGCTCAAAATTCTTCCCATCGAACCTTGGGAGTTGAGGTTGGATCGTCCCGGCACCATTCATAGAGGCCATATGACACGAGATTTTGTAAGCCGAATTCACAAAACTTAGCCAAAACTGGCTCTGATACCAAATGTTGGAATAATAAAATTTGGAATTGATATTCAAATATGTCTTGAAGGATTACATAATATTTATAGACCCTTTAGATGACTAGAACAATTGAAAACTATCTTGAAAACAAGCAACAATAAGTAAACATTAATTTCCTCGATAACAATTTCCAAGACTCCAAATCTCTAGATAATAATTGCAAGAATCCAATTCACGAGATGAGCTTGGATTACGAAAAGTCTTTTTTATTTCCAACAAACTTGAATAATGAATAGTATTGGAGTTGTTATGTCTTAGTAGAGAATTCATTTGGCACTTTGTTATTTTAGATCTTACCTTATATGTAGTAACAATTCTTTGGTATTCTTTGTTTCTTTGTATTATTTTTCTTGTAAGAAATTGTGCTTTTTCATTGAAATTTTTAATACGCCTCGTATAGCAATCTAGGTTGTTTAGGTAAATTTTTCCATTCATAGAATTATTACTTAAATTATGATGAAGCCAACATTAGTTGAATATTTTGGTACAGAAGTTCTTGCTAAAAAATAACTTCTAAATTTTCTTAAGATCAAAGTAAACAATCATCAAGAAAAAATATTTCTCTTGTCCAGATACATATTTATGTTCACTTAGTATGTAATAAGTTTATTCACTTCTCATGTGCTAAAGGAATTTTTTTGAACTCTACATGCATTTCATCAAAGACTTTGGCCTCCTCTCGACTTAAATTTGGCTCCGTCACTGATATAAACTAATAGTCTCCCTTTTTACCAGAATAAAAGAATGTTTTTCTTTGAAGAGACAAGGTCATGTGATTTCTAATGTGTTACGTTTAGTACGCCAGAATGGAATGGACAGAGAATGAAATGGGATGGAACGATGACTCCAAAATTTTTGTTTGGTGAATTGTGGAAATGAAATGGAAATTATATTTATTGTAAGAAAAACATTGTAGTAATACTATTGAATGAGAGTATTTTAACAAATACTAATAAATTTGTTTAATATTTTACTTACTTGTATTTATTATAATATCATTCTATTTAAATTATATTAATGTACTTTGTAATTTTTTTGTTCATATTGTAATTTCTAATTGACTAGTATATTACATTATATTTATTAATTATGATGTAGAATTACCAGATATTTAATATTGATCATATAATTCATGTTTATCAACTATAATATAAATTTATTAATCGTCATTCATAATTGATCCTAAATCTTAATTGATATTTGTTTTATAATTATATTATTCATTACATAAAATTGAATAATAAAAATTTAGCCATTATTTATTATTACTGTTGAGGCTGCGTAGTTGTGTGATTTACGGATGAAGAGAAATGGATCATTTTTTATAGGAATTAAGTGACCAATTAATTAAATGTGAATTGAGTGATAAGTTGATGAAAAAGAGTTTTAAATTTTCATGCAAGGATGAAAGTTTTTCTATTATTTATATTTATATCAATTAAACTGAAAAAAGAAAAAAGAAGCGGCTCAAACCTTACCCTCTATCTTTAAGATCCCTTCCTTTGATTTGAGCGGCCTCCTTCAAAGCCTCCTTCCATCCCTGCAGTACATTGTAGCCAAACTTCTCCTCGTGCTTTTGCAGTGCATCGTGGTACAGCCCGGTTTTGAGCTTGACATTGTCAGGATCCACATCAAAGAAAATTGGCATGATCATCGATTTGCCATCACTGTTTCTCAAGCAATCAACCATGTATTCCAGCTCGAGAAGACACCAAGCACTGGATGCGTAGTTTCTAGAGAAGATGGGCATGCAAATTGTGGAGCTCTTGATCGCATGCTCCAGTTTGTCTCGGATCACTTTGCCTTTGTTGATCTCTTCCTTGTCTCTCAACACGCGAATCCTAGCTACATCCATGGAGTGATAGAGGCTGTCACACCCCAAACTCAACAAGAATAAGGGCGTGACACGGCCATCCTTTCACAAAAGGACGCAGCCAAAACATAACCGAAACTCACCTAATATCTTAATATATGCATCCACATATATATACGTGATAGAGAGTTTATCTGGTTACAATATCAAAGTTAACTACAATCCACCAATAGGCCAAAAGCATAACTAGCAACAGGCTAATACTTAAACTCCACATCTATGTGCAACTCGTACCAAAAAGTCCCAACTATCAAAATGTCCTCCCCGACACCGGAACTCTCGCGCCTACTAACGTCTCGGTGAAGAACCTGAAAAACAAGTAAGATGAGAGGAATGAGCTACCACGGCTCAGTGAGTAATACATTTCTTCTAGGTAGATCGAGCACCTACTATGCACACAGTTGTAAGACCAAACGAAAACTCAAATAACCCAACATATAACCAACTCCAGGTTCAAAATACGTTATATACTACTTTAAACATCACATTTTCACAATAGGAAAGCTCATTCCAATTAATAATATCAAAGAAGAAACCAATGGTCAAATTCATTGGCCAATCTCGTCGAAAAGCACGTGCCAATGGTCCATTCCATTGGCCAATCTCATGCTCAGAAATCTAAGTATGATCACGGATAACGCCCCGTGAAAGGCGACCAAGATCCCCCCCCTTGGCAAGGTCTCCACCTACTAAAAGCCGGTGGCTCGGCCCACAAGAATATCCTAGACTAGTATGCGCATACCCACAACCCCTCATTTGGGTTCACAGAGACACTGAGCACCAAAATCCACAACAATATCATCCACCAATCTACAAAACCCATTCCAGAAATCATTTCATAAACCATTTCATAAACCGATATAAAACCCTTCATAAGCCACATTCAAATGCAAGAACTCCTCATGAGTCTTTCTCAAAAGGTTTCGCAAACCTATTTGCATTCAGTAAATTCAAACCGAAATCAAAAGATAATCTTTCATTTTAAATACACAAAATGGCAGTAAATGCTCAATCCAATTTTATGCAATCAAAATGCCATTTCTTATATGGTAACATGTCTAATACATATCATTTTCTAAACATGAGTTTACAAATTCAAAGAAGAAATAGTATCACTCACCTTGAAAAGCTGAAAAACTAACCTACGGCGGTTTCTCGAGCCGACGCACTCAAATACCTAGGAATAAGTCGAAAAACGGTGTCAAAACCGAGTAAAATGTTTCTTCAGCTACGACTCAGCTAAATTGGGCTTAGACACTAACACAACAACTAAAAGACGCCCTCAAATCATTCGTCCAAAGCGATTATCCAAATTCATCCACGATGCGAAACTTGAGCGCAAAACTTGATTGCGCCATAACTTTCTCCACTAAACTCTGTTCTAAGCGAACTTATAGTCAAGAGAAAGCTTATTCAGAGCATTATAAGAACCCCAACTTGGCCGTCCTAAAATTGAGCCGAAGACCGACAAAAATCGGCCTAAAAACCGCTGATCGCGCACTGTTCACTGCGCGCACTCAACTTCAAAAATTCATATTTGGCAAACCGTAAGTCCAAATCAGGTTCCGTAAAATCTCACGGCTCCGCAACACCGTAAACTACCAATTCTATAAAAATGCGCAGCTTTATGACTCAAAAATCAGACTTCGCCGCTCGAGTAACACGTAACTCCGAAATTCGTCCCGAACAACCATACTACGAAATAGCTACTCAACAAGCCCCAACACTTTACAACACCATAAACCATCATTCCACGCAAAATTACAACTTAATAACTCCTCAATCGAGCCTCGCAATTCAAAATCGATATTCCTTTAAATTTGTGCCCTAATTTCCGAAATCGATCTGATTAGACGAATAGAGGCCTCGATTACTTACCCGGCGTTACAAAACGACGTTGATTCGTCTTATCGAGTCGTCCGGATCACAAACGCACGAAGATTTTTCCCTATTCCCCTTTTTCTTCCTCTGCGTGCATTTCTTCTTCTTCCCTTCTTCTCCCCTTTCTCTCTTCGGTCACCGAGGCTCCTTCACCAATTCACGTTGAAAAAATATATAGACAAGTTAATGGGCTGGGCTCTAGATAAAATAATGGGTTATTTAAGCCCATTATTACAGAGGCAGTTTGCAAAACTCAAGCAAGTGTCGGGCCCTCTGAAATTCAAGAATACCTCGTATTCAGCTCCCAGCGACGACTCGACATCACCTCTATCAGTCGTTGATGGCATTATGCCGCTTGATGAGTCCCTCCTCTCCATGTTCAGGAGCTAAAGTGTAGTGATCGAGTTTGATAAAGGGGAGACGTAAGAGTAGTGTTTAAAAGATGTGATTTTGGAGAATTTATGGACGTAAGATAAGAATCAATCTGCAAAGAAAAAATACAGCGGCGGTTGGCTGGCGCAAAAAATAAAAAATGGGAGGTGGAAGGTGGGCATCAAAATTGGGACTCGGTCTTAACATCATTTCTTCACCGGACCAAAACCCACCAATCAACTTCAACCTCACTCTGTAGTCATCGCGTGATGCGTTACCTAACAGCACCATAACTCGTGTGAAGAGAATTTTTGGTTGGTAACATCTTAATGGGCCAATAATGTTGACCTGCCAATCTCGAATCTTTGGATTGTGAGTGGTGCGGAATAGTTGTGAATCACACTAAACTTTTGGATTGTGAGTTGTGTGGAGTAGTTGTGAATTACACTAAACTTTCTATAGTAAGTATGGAACCTTACGATAATTCCCAGATGGGATAAAGAGAGAGTGCTGGTCACCCCTCCCCACTCTTTTACCAAAAGAAAAGCATTAGTTGCAAAAATAATTCAATTTGTCCTTTTGAAAATCACGATGCATCATTTCAATTCTCAGTATTTTTTGGCCAAGTGATGTATCAAAGTTTTATGTGTTTTTGAATCACGACATCTATTGCACCTTATCCAACAACAGCATGCATAGTGATGCGAATTTCGCAATTTATTCTCTTTATAACAATAACACTAGAAAGGTGGAAAGAAAAACCTAAAACTCTATCCAATTTCACAGGTTTAAATGGAACTTAATCCTCGAGAGATTTTCAACTGTGTACGATCTAATAACAAGAGAGCATGCCGCGTAAGAGTGAAATTTGGAAACGGTGGGGACGTCATCATAAGCATAGCTTTATAATTCGTATTAGGAAAGAAGGAGGAGTCAGCATGATGTGGATTCCTTGGAAATAACTTACAACAAGCACTCAATCACAAGTGACAAATCCAAAATGGAAAAAATAAGAATAAATCAACGGAAAAAAGAAATCAAACATAAGTGACCAATTAAATTCTTCTTTGACTTCTTGACCAAAAAAAAAATTTCTTCTTTGACATTCACTAAAGAAAAAAAGAGGTGGAGGACAAAACTAGGGACTCGGTCTTGAGAAATTTCGTTACCTAATTGCGGTATAATTCTTGCGTAGAAATTTTTTGGTTTCTAACATTTTGGTGAGATTGTTGAGAGACCTCATCAACCTTGGACTTTGGATTGCAGGTGATATGTAATAGCTGTGATTCAAATCAAACATTCCATAATAAGTACGAAACTCTTATAATAATACCAAAAGGGGAATCGTGAGCGCTGGTCTTCCCTTCCCACCCTTTTTTTGAATGAAAAGGAATGGACGCAAAATACATTGTAGTTTTCCCTTTTGAAATCATAATGCATCAATTCAAACCTCAGCAATTTTTTCACCAAGTGATATATAAGATTTTTATGTGTTTTTGAAGCACAATGTGTAGTGTGCTCCATCTAATAACTGCGTGCATAGTTTTGGGAATATCCCGTTTTATCTTTATAACAATTAGACTTTGAAACATGGGAAAACTATACTTAAAACTCTATTTAATTTCATAGGCGTAACTGAAGCTTAATATCGACCAGTTTTCAATCATGTATGATCTAATAACGAGAGCGCACACCGTGCAAATTAGTATCGAATGATGTTGTCATTGTCATCTCAAACGCAACTGTCATTTTTTGGGCGTTGATGATTGTGAAAAAAAAAAGAGTTATCAGGTGGAGGCGTTAGAGATGGCCATTAAGGTATCACAAGCTACGCTAGTGTACTTGGTGACAGGTTCAGGCAAGACTCTAATTCGCCATGAACTACAGTATTTGTCAAGAACGACCAGAAATTACCAAGAACGAGTTATATTTGCCACAATAGCTATGTTAGTAGTAAATTTATTTATTAAGGATAAAGATCATGAACTCATAAAGGCAATTCATTAATAGAAAATCTTTTCATGCCAAGTAAGCTTAATCTTAAACAAAGAGAAATCAGAGGTATCGGTAGTAGACTTAGAAATGGGCCCGGCGGCACACGGGCCTGCCCACATACGGCCCGATCATAAGGGCCTGCCAAAAGCATATTCGTGGGCCTGATCATGGGCCTACGTTTATTAGAATTTGCTCTTTTACTTTTACTCTTGTTCGTTTTGGCTGCTTCTTTGTTTTGGCACTTTCAGAGCAAAGCTCAAGACGCTCAAGTTCGGAGTTTTAAGAACAAAGTTCTTTGTGTAAATTTAAAGCAGCCATGGAAGCAAAAATGGCCACCATTGCCTCCATGGTCACACCAGATCTGGATTCAACAAGTCCGTCGTCAAACCTCCTCGACCATATTCTCCATGATTCTTCGACCCCAGCTCTTTCTACACCTCTAGTTTTGCTTCGGCCAAGAGGTTGCCGATGGCACGCGCCGGGACGACGGAGAAGGTTGGATCTCATTCGCAGATTCATTTCAAACTTTCTTTCTCTAGAATTTTCGGATTATACTTATTTCATTCTTCTAATTTGAACGGCCAAAAGGATGTCATCGTAGCATTTAACGGTGGTTTAACGGCCTTTTATCACGTTAATCGAGATATGGTCACCACAACAAGTTTATACCGTCCTCTTATTTTTACTTAAAGAAAGAACAGCAATCTTGCTCTTGTTTGCTTTTTTTCTCCGGGCAAAGAACATCAAATAATCCTAACTGGCATAGGATGGCAAAATTTTATGCTCATCTGAAAATTAATATTCAAGAAATTTTATACCGTTCGCACAAAATTATTAGGAAGTACGTGAGAGAGAGAGAGAGACAGAGACAGCACATCTGAGTGGGGGCTCCAGCAAAGGTGCTACTTTGCTACACCTTCAAAACTGCGACGTCCCATTCGTGGCGTCTAACGAAATTCTAATGAGAGTCGTTGGATTGAAATACGACATCACGCCATGCCGGAGCGGCTATGTAATCAAAGCATCGAGTGTTCGGACTTGTTAAAGCGCCCATTTAATTTCACTAAATCGTGATTATTCCTTTTCTTTCTTTCATAGTAGTCACTGGCGAACCTAGAAATTGAAGTTCAAGAACTCAATTGGCCACAAAAAAAAAATTAGTTCACAGACTCAATTGAACATTTTACAAAAATTCGAGATCTATTCGTGCCTTTATCCCTCTTTTTATACCATAGAATATCTATCCTAATACAATATTTAATTATGAGGTCACTTTTTGTTCGTTAGATAATTTGAGTTTAACCTCTTTTAGCTTCAACGCCCAGTTTGCTATGACCATGCTACGTCAGTTTTGAAAATCCTCTGCTTTAGTTCGATCTTCTCTTACCTTTGACTTGATATGCTTTAATGATTTTTTTTTTGGTGCAGCTTTCTTTTGTTACGATTTTCCTCTAATTTTGTCACCTGGTGGAGACAAGGTTTTGTCTACTCATTTAATACTACTATGATGAAGTTTGATTTATTTTTTCGTTAAACAATTCGTGGCATTTCTTCATTTGTTAATCACAATTACGTTATCCTAAGAAAGAAAAAAAATAGAAGGAAAATCGCCATGCGTTAGGTGGAGAGAGTGTCGATGTCAACTTGTCATAAAGCACTATGAGTACGCACCATCACAGATTTATGGAATCAAACTTAGATAAGATTAGACAATGAAATACAGAAACGGGAAAGACTGAAAAGTGGGGGATGTGCATCTTTTAGAGTGAACAGGAAGAACTACAAAAAAAAGTTGGCTGATTGTTCGGAAGGAGACATGGGAAGGGAAAAGACAAAAAAAAATAAAAAATTAAAGCAAAGTACGAACGAAATGGGAAAGAGTGCCACGTGTCACATATACTTGCCTGGCCTCCTTGAACGTTGGCCCGGAATGGATTCCTCACACAATCCGCATCCATAGGAAGGGTCACTATGCTCGCCTAACAGTGGGCATGCATGAACATGGAGACCACATGTGTTTGGAACAGCAAGCAAACCTTGCAGTGCTTTACAGTGATAGAGTGTCAATGAGCGCAACCCATGTAGTTTTGATAGATCGGGTAACCTTTCTATGGAGCTCCATTCTCCAATTAATAATTGCTCCAGTGAGTTTGGGAAATCAGACAAACCTTGCAGTGATTCACAGTGCCTTACAGACAAACTCCTCAACCCATGTAGTTTTGATAGATTGAGTAACCTTTCTATAGAGCTCAAATTGCGAATATCTAATGATACCAGTGATTTTGGTAAATCAGGCAAACCTTGCAGTGATTCACAATGATTTACAGACAAGCTCCTCAACCCATGTAGTTTTGATAGATCGGGTAACCTTTCTATGGAGGTGCATGCAATAATGGATAATGTCTCCAGCGATTCCATTTCTCCCAAATCTCGAATCTCAATTAACTGTGAGCACGAAAAGATTCTCAGTATTTTGAGCTTCCTTAAGCTTGATAGACCTGATAACCTCACCAGCGATTTACAGTTCATAACATCTAATTCAAGGAGGTTCTCTAACTGTTTAAACTCGATCTCTCTCAATCCCCATCTGAAGAGTCTTAAATGATGCAAACATCTCAAATCAAAGAGAAGAGGTTGTTCTATCGGTAACTTGACATCGATTAATTCCAAATAATGAAGACCTAAAGGAAGCCGTGGGAGAGATTGAGGATCATCACAATATATGAATACGTTCGAAAGCTTAGGAGGCAATGTGACATCTATATTTCTAGAATCATAACCATGGTATACCAACCCTTCAAGATTCTCCAAAGTCCATATGGCCTTAGGTAGCTCTCTTATCTTTGTCCCAAGCGTATTTATTCCCTTCAGCCTTTTAAGATATCCAATAGAAGCAGGCAATTCTGTAATTCTTGTAACAAATAAGTCTAACCAGAGCAATGATTCTAGTCCTCCGATGGAGTTTGGTAGCTCCCTTATTTGAGTGTTTCTCAGGTCCATTTCCTCCAACCTTTTGAGATCTCCAATAGAATCAGGTAACTCTCTTATCTTACTGTCAATCGCAATTAAGCGCCTAAGGCTTTTAAGAGATCCAATGGAAGCAGGCAGTGCTATAATATCAGTACGCTGCAAGTCTAAGTCAAGCAACGATTCTAGTCTTCCAATGGAGTTTGGTAGCTCCCTCATCCGAGTGTGTCCCAGGTCCATTTTCTCCAACCTTATGAGATTTGCAATAGAATCAGGTAACTCTCTGATTCTTGTGTTGAACAAATTCAATTCAAGCAATGAACTCAATTTCCCAATGGAGTTTGGAACCTTTCTAAGCCGATAACAATGCGCTAAAGACAAGCACTTCAAGCCCGCCATCTCTCCAATAGATGGATGAAGCTCTCGGATACACTGCCCCACAAGCTTTAGACTTGACAGTTTCTTAAAACGGCATATTGTAGAAGGTATTGCGCACAGGTCAAAATGGGGGCTTCCAGACAACGTTGTCGGCTGCACTCTGGCTGCAATTATTTCCAAGCGCTTTAGGCGCTCTAGCTTACCGATAGAGATATCGATTTGTGTCAACTCTGCATAATGTTCAACAAAAGCCAATATCCTCAAATTCGAGCATGTTGAGAAGTCGGGAGTCGTCGAGAGATGGCATCTCATGAGATGTAGAACTTTCAAGTCATGATTTGCCTATTGAACAAATTAGAATTAGAAAAGTAAGGCAAGGGAAATGGCGACAAACGTATACATGGGATACGAAACCATACCAAGCATGGGCCCCATCCATTCCAATTCTCAGGAATTTTGCTGTCAGAAAGCTTGAGCACAACTAAGTTCCGTAAGCATAGATTGACCGCCTGCAAGTATGAAGGGCAACGATGCCAAGAGAGCCATTTTAAACTCGAGAGAAGATTCTTAAAGTCTCCTGTCAAGTTGCCCCCCTCTAATTCCAACAACCTTAAGTTATGCAGACTTGAAAACTCTTCCCTTGTAAATATGTGCTCTTTTGGAAGTCCAGTTAGTTTGAGTGCTGTGATTTTATATGTTCCCTGACAACATGAAATGTTATAAGTGAACTTTCTACGGTAAAGAAAAAGAGCGAAGCATTCCGCGAGTAAAAATATCATAGACTAGTTCTGTAAGTAAATTATTCTGTTTGCTTCTACTTTGGGGTTGTAAATGTAAGCAATTAATATCTATTGCTAGATATTGTTAAAATCAGTGATCCATTTTCAAGAAGCATCTAGACCTCTCCTTCTCTGCAAAGGCAACAAAATATCTTCGATACAAGTCCACATATGCTTGTGTCTAGAAAAATTTTAAAAGAAAAAAATATGTCTCAGCACAACTCGGCAGAGATTTTTCCTATGAAAGTCAGTGGAATTGCTCTGTAAATAGAGCTTAGAATCATTCATGTAATTGTATGGGGAGCGGTATAACTAATTTGTTGAAATAATGAAACTACGTTTTTTTCTTATCCCATTGGCTATACCCTTGGAGTTTTCTTACCTTGTTCTCTTGTCATCCTCTCCCGAATATATCCCGCACACAAACAAACTAGCACATTAAACCACAAACTAAATAGTGACATCAAAATCATGCTTCCACAATCCAACATTGGTATCGGACCAAAAACCAACGAGTAGTATCAGACCAACAACCAACAGATATGAGTTATGATATTACTTTCATTTCACTCAAAATTGACAAATTTTGTTTTATGCGATGCACAACACAGACAAAAGACCACATCCAGGAATATACTCTAAGCTTTGAGCTGATGTTTCCATGATCGAAAAGACGGTAGCTATGAATAAAATGTACCTTTCTATGCTGCACTACGTTCAACGCATCCTTGGGAGACCATAGTCTACTACGCTCCTCCAGAAATTTGTGTTCTTTTCGAACAATTTCTCTTCCAAGGTCTCTTAGCAGGTCATGCATCGACAGTTTGTCATTACCATCAACCTTTATCAAAGACATACGAGAAAGGACAGGGATCTCAATTTTGGGGGAAAAATCCAATGCTTTCCACATATAATGTGGATGGATTCTTTCTTCACCAATAAAGCAACATGCAATATCAAGAAAAATTTCTTTCTGTTCATCCTCTAGCATATCAAAGCTAATCCTTAATTTGTGACATACATCTTGATTGGGAACTAAATTTAATTTCTTCAATGTGGCTTTCCAAAGTTGTTGACTTTGGCCACAAAGAGAGGAACCGATGACCTCGAGAGCCAAAGGAAGTCCACCGGTTTTGCAAACAATATTGCGAGAAATATGACGATAATCATGTGGAGGAAAATCCATTCTGAATGCATGCTTACTAAAAAGCTCAAGAGCATGGCGATGGGACAATTCTCTCATTTGATAGATTGTAAACTCTTTGAAATGCGTCCGGACATTTTTTTCTTGGTTCTCCTCTTCAATCGGCAAAAAGTTCGTGTCCCTTGTTGTAATAATAATTCTGCTCCCGGGACCAAACCAATCAGGCTTTTCAGCAAGTTTTGAGAGTTGATCCATTTCATCTAAGTCATCTAGAACAATGAGGACTTTCTTGCGGCGGAATCTCGTGTTAATTTGGTAAATCCCTGCATCAGAGTCATAAAACTCCGGTGGATTGGAGTTGAGAATTTCCGACAATAATTGCTTTTGCAATTGAACGACTTTGCTGCCATTTGAAGCTTCTCGAACATTCGAAATAAAGCTGCACCTGTGAAATCGACTGGAAATTTGGTTAAAGACGACTTTGGCAAGAGTCGTCTTACCGATGCCCCCCATTCCGTGGATTACCAGATAACGTACATCAGGTGAACCTTCATCTATTAGGCGCATGACATCATCAACGCAATCCTCAATTCCGACTAAATGATCCGGCAGCTTTTTGTCTCTTTTATTCAGCTTCATCGAAACTTTAGCAACGATTAATTTACTGACTTCGCCGTGACTGTCATATTTGATAAAAGGTCTAGTAAGAAACATCCAAATAGAATATTCAACTATCGAGCTCCGGAATATTATGAATTAAACATAAACCAACCATAGAGGAGGGGTGGGGGAGGAAGCGGGTGCGACCACCCCCCTCCCAAAAAATTTTGTATATATACTCTGTGGATATGTAGGAAAAAAGTCCACTGTAAGTGAATCGCACCCCTCCTCCTCAATCAACCAAAATCCAGTCAATTTACTTAAAACGAATTGCAATTGGGTATTTTATACTATGGTTAAAACTGTAAATTGCTAAGATAAGGATGAAATCTTAAACGTTGTACAAGATGCTCCCTCATCCATAAAATGTAAAAATCGAAACCTTCGGATTTTCTTCCTTTAAATGTATGCAAAGAAATTGTTTATTCATTTTTTATTGCTCACATACAGTGTGTGCTCGGTTTACTAGTTTTGCATGGAGTAAAATAGTAATAGCTAGAACAATTGTTTTATTAAATCAAACCTACATAACATTATTTTAGAAGTTATCAAAGAGGTATTTTTATTCAATCTAAAGGATGCAAATTGAATAATGAATTCAGATTGGATTTGTCATGTCTAAATAGAGAAGTCATCTAGTTTTGAAAGGAATTGATTTAATTGGTCAGAAAAGTCATCTATGTTTTGAAAGGAATTGATTTAATTGAATGGATGCATAGTGAGTAGTTATAAAATATGTGGAGATTGAGTGACAATTTGATGAAAAAGAGAACAATGGGTAGTTGTATCTTTTAATGCAAGGACGAAAATATTTCTTATTATTTATAGTTATATCAATTAAATATCTAATCAAAGAAAATAAAATAAAAGCCCAAACCTTACCCGGTATCTTTGAGATCCCATCCGCTCATACCAGCGACCTTCTCCAGAGCCTCCTTCCATCGCTGCACGACCTCGCAGCCGTACTTCTCCTCGTGCTTTTGCAGAGCATCCTGGTACAGCTTAGTTTTAAGCTTGACATCTCTGGGTTCCACGTCAAAGAAGACCGGCAGAATCATCGCTTTGCGATACACCATGTATGCAAGCTCACGAAGACACCACGCACTGACAGCGTAGTTTCTAGAGAAGATGGGAATACAGATTGAGGAGCTCTCGATCGCACGCTTTAGTTCACCTCCGATATCTTCGCCTTTTCCGATCTCTTCACCGTCTCTGAAAACGCGAATGCCAGCTCCATCCATGGCGTGATAGAGGCAATCGGCAAAATTCTGGCGAGTGTCGGGCCCTCTAAAACTCAAGAACACCTCGTATTCAGCCCCCAGCGACGACTCAACATCGCCTCTACTGGTCGACACCACTGTTCCATCCGAATATTTCCTCTTTGCCATCTTCGGGAGCTAAAGAGTAGTGGTCGAGTTGAATAATGAGGAGAGAGATGTAAGAGAGTAGTGTCTAATGCATGCAAATCTGGAGGTATTTATGGACGAGCCAAAGAATTGTGGGAAGGGCTGAGGAAATTTCCTGCAATAAAATATTATTTTATACACCATTCTGATTAATAATTTCAATTGATTCCACCTCACAATCCAATTTACTAAACTAAAAACTTTCCCCCAGGCCACAACAGGACAAATTCAAATCTGATTTCGTAAACTCGTCTCATTTATTATTCGCTCCGGGAACAATAACTAGAATACTTATTTGAGCTCGAAGTTTGTGAATTGGTTCTAAATACGACTGCACTGTCGTTTTAAAGGCAATTTGTAATGCATTCTCCAATCAATTTCATTTTTTGTTAAACACCAGAATTTCTTTCAAGTGATTTTCAACACGATCAAACATAAGAAAATGACTCATCTTTCATGAAAACAATTCCACTAATTTCCATCAAACAAACAGACCCAAAAATATATCAATTGATTTCACGTCAAGTTCTAATTAACAATACCGACCCATCGGCCTTTGCAACTTCACATACAAGATCATTTCAAAGGTGCAGGCTAACCAGTTAAGAACATGGCTGCCTCAATTAATTAAAGTGGAACAGAGTGCCTTTGTTAGTGGAAGGCAAATTCAGGATAATATCCTGATAGTTCAAGAGGTACTGAACCAACTACGAATCAGGAAAACGAAGAAAAAATTCCAAGCAGTGCTTAAATTAGATATGCAAAAAGCCTACGACAGGATTGAGCAGGACTTCCTAGAAGCTTGTATGCTAAAAATGGGTTTCTGTAGAAAATGGGTCTCGTGGATCATGCAATGTGTCACTACTATCTTATTTAGTGTGAAGTTCAATGGGAAGCCTTTGCCTTCTTTCAACCCAACACATGGAATCCGACAAGGTGACCCTGTCTCACCTTATCTTTTTATACTTGTGGCTAATGTCCTCTCCTTACTATAAAAAGCAATTGAAGATGTTAAAGTAAAAGGAATAAAGCTACTAATTGACATTGCCCAAGTCTCTCCCACTTGTTGTTTGCGGACGATTCTATCTTTCTCGCGAAAGGGAAAGTTATAGAATGCCAAAACCTGGCTCACATTCTCGATCAATACTGTTTTGCCACCGGCCAGGCAATCAATTTAAACAAGTCAGGTGTTTTCTTTAGCTCGGGCTGCCCCTAGAATCTTCGTAGGAATATGGCACAGGAATTGAGAGTCCCAGAAATAGACAAAACACGGAAATAATTGGGTATCCCTTCGGATTTGGGCGTATCAATGAAACAAATGTTCACTTGGATACTGGCCAGGGAAATTATGAAACTTGAAGGATGGAAGGAAAAGATGGCGTCAAAGGCTAGAATGGAGATCCTATTGAAAACGGTTGTCAAGGCGCTCCCGCAATATGCCATGTCAATCTTCAAGATACCGCTTTCCCTTTGTAGAGCCATTGAACAAAAGATTGCCTCATTCTGGTGGAAAAACAATGATTCCAAGGCTGGTATACACTGGAAGTGCTAGGAGGTAATGAAAAAGAGGAAGGACCGTGGAGGTATGGGTTTTCATGACCTAATTACATTTAATAGGGCAATGTTGAGCAAATGCTGACCTATTTACCTTCGACGCTTTGGCGCCAAATACCAAAAGGGCTCTACTTCCCCAACACTGATTTTTGGCATGTGAGGAAAGGACAAAGATCGTCCCGAGGGTGGCACAACTTGCTGATTGGAAGAGATGCATTAGCTGGCTCAGTTCAATGGTCCGTAAAGAATGGAAAATCGATTAGAATTCGTGAAGACAAGTGGACAAGATTGGGCACAATCGCAAGTCCATCAAACCAAGATGATCCCCAATTAGTGTCTGAACTGATTGACAGAGACTAGGCGATATGGAATGAACAAAGCCTTTATAGCTTGTTTGAAGACAATATTGTGGAGGAAATCTTGGCCATCCCCATCCCATCTATGGAAGAGAAAGATAGACTAGTATGGACAGCAGCGAAATCAGGGAATTACTCAGTTAAAAGCGGGTACAATCATCTCAGAAAAGAAGCAGACAGCCCATCCAATCAACAAGCCTCATCCTCGCACCAAATACCATGAGGCCTATGCTCTAAAGGGTAGAACATGAACATCCTACCCAAAATCAAACTATTCCTCTGGCAAGTTTGCCAAAATGCCTTGCCTACAAAGGAAAACTTGATCAAGCGAAGAATCATACCTGACCCACTGTGCCCAGTGTGTAAGACGCCTCCCCAAACGCCACAACACCTCTTTCTCCCTTGTCCCTGGACAACCAAAGTTTGGTCAGACCACAATTTACAAATGCGAATTGAAGATCAAGGCCTCACAAGCATAGATCAGTGACTATCAAGCTACAAGAGTGGATTACCAGCCTTGCCGTCTCTCGAGCTCGTTTCCGAAGTACTCTGGGTCCGGTGGAAGGCGAGAAAAAGTGCGATTTTTAGAGGCAAATCACCGGACCCGCAAGCGACTGATAATGAAGCGATAGCCTTGCACGAAGATATCAAAACTTGCAGCGCGAATCGAAAGAAAAAAACAAGAACGAGAAGGGATCTCACCTGTGATCTGGACGCCGCCGGAGAAAGGAGCTCTTAAGCTTAATGTGGACGCGGCCTTCGTTGCTGGGCCTGGCTCTACGTCGTGTGCGGTCGCCGGTGTGTGCCGAGACGCCTCAGGGAAGCGCCCCTTGCACTGATTGAAGGCCAGCGCTTTATGAAAGAATAGAGGAGAGAGAACAGGGGGAGATGAGCCTTCGTGGAAGTGGAGTCTGACAATTCAGTCAAGTCACATGTGAAGACCCACATGTTGAACTAAATAAAATCGAGTCCACTTCACTGCTAATTTATTTAACTAAATAACTTTTCCATGCTCCAGATAAACTCCAAGCCGACGCATTTGATCGGGTATAGCAAGACTGATGATGGGGTTCTTTTCTTGAATTAAGGAACGGCGCTTCCGTTCCCACATTGTTCAATTCAATGAGTGAGGACTCCATCTATCCATAAAAGAATTATCGCGGTATCCGTGAATGCATGATTCCATGAAGGTCCGATGCGTTTAATGATCTTTTCATATTTAAGATGAAGAAAGCATTTCATTCATCTAAACATGATTAAGTAAAATATGTTATATATAGGTTACATTTCGAATATGATTTTAAAGGAAAAAAAATACCATATATCCCTATTTCAAGATATTACTTTCTAAGATAAAATTTTCTCGAGGGACAAAAAGTTAAAATCGAATACTCCGTAACGAATGTAAAATTCCTAAGGCAAGGTCCAGATGGGTAGCTTAAAAAGTTCCTTCTTTTACCTCTTTTCAAAGTAATATCCTTCTAGCCGACGAAAATCTATTTCCCTCTAACTAAAAATTACGCCCTATTAACTTGTAAAGATTATTTGCTAAATTATCCAAATATATTCCCTAATTGAATATTATGGTAGTCTATTATGTAATTGATTTTTTATTCTAAAGTGTCAGCTAAATAATAAAGGTTCTCCAAATACAATATACGAGCAATAGGAGCCCTTGTTTGTTTTATAGCAATTCCCTTGTTTGTTTTATACTGGTGTGATTTACCGAAAGAAGAAGACTAACTTTCTCCACGTGCACTATGTGTTATCGGTTCTATAGCAGTTCCCTTGTTTGTTTTGTTGTTACTCTACTAGATAACAATAAAAAAAACACAAATAAATTGATCTAATTAAAAATATTCTATCAACTATTCTAATTGATACCCATCAAAAAGAAAATATGTCACCGATGGATTCCACTTCACGTCTTAAGTCGTGAGAAATATCTTGCATTGCGTTGCGTAATTTCCTGGAAGGACCTAAGAAATTTCCCATAATGAAAATTTATCTTTCATTCCATACAGGAAAAGATATAATTTGAATAGATTTCACTTCACGTTCTTTTATCGACAAACAAGAACATCAACGACAAGACACACAAGAAGTCATAATCCTTTATTCAATGTTATTTGGGCCAGATTCGTGGAAAGTAAGGCTACCAGACTACCAGGTCCCATCTCCCTATTTCCTTAAGTCAAGGGACGGCACTTCCACGAAAAGAACAGGACATGAAACATAAGTAGCCAGTTTAGTCAAGGGACGGCACTTCCATTCACATTTTGTTTGATTCAATGGGTTGAGGACTCCATCTATCCATATCAAATTGCCCGCGGTATACGTGAATGATCTTTTCAAATTTAAGATAAAGAAAGAATTTCATTGATGTATAATCCAATGATATATCAGTTATTAGAATAAAAATTTAAGGGAAAAATGACAAGTTATTCCGTAGCAAGCGTGAAACTCTTATAGTAACGCCAGAGAGTAGCTCAAAAATTATGTTTTTTTTTCTCTTTTCAAAGTATTATCTTTCTTGCAAATGATAATCATTTGCTAAACTATCCAGATATATTCGCTAATTGAGTAATATGTTAATCTATTATGTAATCGATAACTCTCTCTCTCTCTCTCTCTCTCTCTCTCTCTCTCTCTCTCTCTCTCTCTCTCTCTCTCTCTCTCTCTCTCTCTCTCTCTCTCTCTCTCTCTCATATAACCATACACAACTCATCGAATTTAAGTAATTATGTCCTCAAACCATTGTAATTATTTCTCTCGCCTATTGTAATATGTCTCGATGTTGTGAAGACCAACATGTTGAAGTAGTAGTCAAAGATTGTCAGGCCTTGCTTTCTTATATGCCTTTTATATGTTTATCCCACTGCTCTACGACCCAAAATAAAGCAGCAGATTGGGTCACTAAAGCTCAACTTCGCAGCACTCTTCCTCAGTATTGGTTTTCCAGCCCCCTAAACCCCTTTTGGATGTTTTGTCTGCTGAAGCTCATTTGGGTCCTTCACTTTATCTACTTAAATGAAATGGAAGGATGCATTTTCGATAAAAAGAAAAATTGATTCCACTTCTAATTTATTAAACTAAATAACTTTTCCACGTTCCGTATAAATCCAAGCCGACGCATTTGATCGGGTATAGCAAGACTGGTATTCAAGTGGGCTCATCAAACAACAGTATATATCAGCGTCGGAGGAGTCTAATATATGCACGCGTCGAAAGTAGAGTCACACGCATCCTTCGCCCTCCTCGTCCCCGTTTCATTAAAACTATAGTCTTAGAATAAATTCATAAGCTCTCGTAATTTGGTCAGTGCCCAACATATATTCCCCCACGTCACAACAGGACAAAGGCTATTTGATTCCTACAGCTAGCAATGCACCGACGCTCAGCTGCCCATGCACCAGATCCCAAACTAAGAAAACAAACAAACAGATGCTCGGGACATCAACTATTCTAATTGATACCCACCAAAAAGAAAATATGTAACATCAATGGATTCCACTTGACGTTCTAAGTCGTGAGAAGTCTCTTTCATCGCATTGTGTAATTTTCTGAAAAGACCCGAGAAATTTCCCACAATGAAAATTTATCTTTCATTCCATAAAGAAAAATAGATAATTTGAATTGATTTCACTTCACGTTCTTTTATTGATAAACAAGAACATCAACGACAAGAGACACAAGAAGTTATAATCCTTTAGTCAATGTTGTTTGGGCCAGATTCGTGGAAAATAAGGCTACTAGACTACCAGGTCCCATCTTCCTATTTCCTTAAGTCAAGGGACGATGTTTTAAGTCATGAGAAGTCTCCTTCATTGCGTTGTGTAATTTCATGAAAAGACCCGAGAAATTTCCCACAATGAAAATTTATCTTTCATTCCATAAAGGAAAATATATAATTTGAATTGATTTCACTTCACGCTCTTTTATTGATAAACAAGAACATCAACGACAAGAGACACGAGAAGTTATAATCCTGTAGTCAATGTTGTTTGGGCTAGATTCGTCGAAAGTAAGGCTACTAGACTACCAGGTCCCATCTTCCTATTTCCTTAAGTCAAGGGACGATGTTTTAAGTCGTGAGAAGTCTCCTTCATTGCGTTGTGTAATTTCCTAGAAAGACCCGAGAAATTTCCCACAATGAAAATTTATCTTTCATTCCGTAAAGGAAAATATATAATTTGAATTGATTCCACTTCACAGTCTTTTATTTATAAACAAGAACATCAACGACAAGACACAGAAGAAGTCATAATCCTTTAGTCAATGTTGTTTGGGCCAAATTCGTGGAAAATAAGGCTACTAGACTACTAGATCCCATCTTCCTATTTCCTTAAGTCAAGGGACAACATTTTAAGTCGTGAGAAGTCTCTTTCATTTTTTTTTTTGATGACCCAGGAACCCCCCGCATGGCCGACAGCCGGAGGGATAAACCTGGGGTGACGCTAGCGCAAGATCCACCACCACGGCGCCACACTTAAGAATCCCTAACGACTACGCTGGAGTTCGAACTACGATCCCTTCGTGGGGGGACAAGAGCGCAAGCCAACGCAGCCGCTGTAGGCGGTGGTAAGTCTCTTTCATTGTGTTGCGTAATTTCCTAAAAAGACCCGAGAAATTTCTCACAATGAAAATTTATCTTTCATTCCATAAAGGAAAATATATAATTTGAAATGATTCCATTTCACGTTCTTTTATTGATAAACAAGAAGATCAACGACAAGACACGCAAAAAGTCATAATCCTTTAGTCAGTGTTGTTTGGGCCAGATTCGTGGAAAATAAGGCTACGAGACTACCCGGTCCCATCTTCCTATTTCCTTAAGTCAAGGACGACGTTTTAAGTCGTGAGAAGTCTCTTTCATTTTATTTTTTTTGATGACCCAGGAACCCCCCGCATGGCCGACAGCCGGAGGGATAAACCTGGGGTGACGCTAGCGCAGGATCCACCACCACGGCGCCACACTTAAGAATCCCTAACGACTACGCTGGAGTTCGAACTTCGATCCCTTCGTGGGGGGACAAGAGCGCAAGCCAACGCAGCCGCCGCAGGCGGTGGTAAGTCTCTTTCATTGTGTTGCGTAATTTCCTAAAAAGACCCGAGAAATTTCTCACAATGAAAATTTATCTTTCATTCCATAAAGGAAAATATATAATTTGAAATGATTCCATTTCACGTTCTTTTATTGATAAACAAGAAGATCAACGACAAGACACGCAAAAAGTCATAATCCTTTAGTCAGTGTTGTTTGGGCCAGATTCGTGGAAAATAAGGCTACGAGACTACCCGGTCCCATCTTCCTATTTCCTTAAGTCAAGGACGACGTTTTAAGTCGTGAGAAGTCTCTTTCATTTTATTTTTTTTGATGACCCAGGAACCCCCCGCATGGCCGACAGCCGGAGGGATAAACCTGGGGTGACGCTAGCGCAGGATCCACCACCACGGCGCCACACTTAAGAATCCATAACGACTACGCTGGAGTTCAAACTTCGATCCCTTCGTGGGGGGACAAGAGCGCAAGCCAACGCAGCCGCTGCAGGCGGTGGTAAGTCTCTTTTATTGTGTTGCGTAATTTCCTAAAAAGACCCGAGAAATTTCTCACAATGAAAATTTATCTTTCATTCCATAAAGGAAAATATATAATTTGAAATGATTCCATTTCACGTTCTTTTATTGATAAACAAGAAGATCAACGACAAGACACGCAAAAAGTCATAATCCTTTAGTCAGTGTTGTTTGGGCCAGATTCGTGGAAAATAAGGCTACGAGACTACCCGGTCCCATCTTCCTATTTCCTTAAGTCAAGGACGACGTTTTAAGTCGTGAGAAGTCTCTTTCATTGCGTTGCGTAATTTCATAAAAAGACCCGAGAAATTTCTCACAATGAAAATTTATCTTTCATTCCTTAAAGGAAAATATATAATTTGAATTGATTCCACTTCACGTTCTTTTATTGATAAACAAGAACATCACAAGACACAGAAGAAGTCATAATCCTTTAGTCAATGTTGTTTGGGCCAGATTCGTGGAAAATAAGGCTACTAGACAGCCAGGTCCCATCTTCCTATTTCCTTTAAGTCAAGGGACGGCACTTCCACGAAAAGAAAAGGACATGAAACATTAGTAGCCAATTATTCTAGGGACGGCACTTCCATTCACATTTTGTCTGATTCAATGGGTTGAGGACTCCATCTATCCATATCAAATTGCCCGTGGTGTAAGAGAATGATCTTTTCAAATTTAAGATGAAGAAAGAATTTCATTGATGTACAATCCAGTGAAATATGTCATATATTGGCTATTAGAATAAAAATTCAAGGGAAAAATAACAAGTATTTTTTTCAAGATAACGATTTCTAAAATAAAATTGTATCATTGGACAAAGAGTTCACACCGAACATTTCGTAGCAAGTACGAAACTCTTATAGTAACACTCAGAGAGTAGCTAAAAAATTATGTTTGTTTTTTTTTTTTCTCTTTTCAAAGTATTATCTTTCGTGCAAATGATAATCATTTGCTAAACTATCAAGATATATTCGCTAATTGAGTGATATGTTAATCTATTATGTAATCGATAACTCTCTCTCTCTCTCTCTCTCTCTCTCTCTCTCTCTCTCTCTCTCTCTCTCTCTCTCTCTCTCTCTCTCTCTCTCTCTCTCGTATAACCATACACAGCTCATCGGATTTAAGTAATTATGTCCTCAAACCATGGTAATTATTTCTCTCGCCTATTGTAATATGTCCCGATGTTGGTATAGAAAGAAATTATGTAGAGCTCATCCTATAAGAATCAAACTAACCGACTTGATCTGAAATGAATTTGTTCTTCTTAGTTTGCTCATTTATTGCGTACCCACATTTGTCCATGATTCAATATAATTTGACAGAAATGTCTCCAAAGAAGGAGAAATTGGTAATTTTTTTGGTAAACCAAATCGATCAATTTTAGGCCGCAAACGAAGAGAGAAAGGAAAAGGCAACGATGCTATCATGATGCATAGCATACTTAGATGACGCCGTTAATGTGCAAAATGTAGCTAGACTATAACTAAACTTTCACGAATGTGCGAATTCATTAATCAATGCAAGACGTCGAGCTTTGCCCACGAATTAGGAATACTGTCCTTATATGATACAACAACCTTTGAAGTAGGGAGTGCTATCCTTATTGCCAAATATGTGGGATCTAATCCTAACTAAAGGATTGTGTTGACATATTGCATTCACAATCCATGAGCAAGAGATTTTCAAGAAATATGCACTCTGCGCAAACTCGTACCAAAATGTATAAACAACAAGCTTGATCTAATTATAATCAAGTACTCTCGTAATAGCATGACCAGAAATAAGAGATACTGAGTGCATCTTTTGAGCAACTATCATGTTGGCATGAAAGAATAAGTATAATGTGTCATCATGGTGAAACATACTAGAGACAACAAAAATTTGAACTTCCAAAAAGTTCACAAGTATATTTTCGTCTCTAATATGGTTAAGTGTCAACTCAACAAGTGCAAGATCATCTTAATGATCGGTAACCTACTGTCGGGTTAATTCAAGAAGAGAAGACCACACAAGCGAGAGAGAGCTGAAGATCACCAGAGTCCGATAGAAATATCTTCTCAAGCATAATCAGGCATCACTTTTTTCAGCAATGTAATTGGCTTAGAGTCCTCGGGCGCCAGTTGGTCAAATGCGACATAGTTGTGCTCTTCATCGTACACATGGCACATCGTCATGATTGTCTTCATGAGTCGCCAATTCCATGTGGCTTCATTTAAGTACTGCAGATGACATGTAAATCGAAATGAGCAAACTAGCAAATAGGCATTTTTCGACAACAGCGAGACGGCTGGTCAACAGGCAATTATGCAATACTGAGAGCACTCTGTATTTACAAATATTTGAAGCACCAAACGCTAAAATCAAATTACCACTCAAGTTTGCCAAATTTAGTTTCAACTTTAAATTTCTCCCTTCCACTTCAAGCATCTGTTACTCATGACAAGAGAAAAAAAAAATGGAACTTGTTCCGAATCATCCTAATCTAGCTGGCCTTTTGAATGCTAGAATAACATAGTTGATGAAAACCAGCTCACCTTTCCCCAGTTTTCTTGTATAGACTTGTGAGCCGCACGCAAGTTGTAACTTGGAATCCTTGATGATATATGATGGGGTATGTGGACATTTATGTGATGGCATAGAATTTCAATCCTGCACAAGAAAATAAAATCTCAGTTTGTTTGTTTATCATTCTAATCCTTGCACCCAAAGGTCGTTGGATAAACTTTTTTTTTTTTTTTGGTAACCTGGGAACCCCCCGCACGGCTGACAGCTGAGGAGGTAAACCCGGGGTGACGCTAGCGCAGGACCCACCACCACGACGTCACGCTTAAGAATTCCTAACGCCAGCGCTGGGATTCGAACTCCTACCCTTCGTGAGGGGAGGGGAGCCCGAAGCCAGCACAGCCGCTGAGGGCGGTGGTTCGTTGGATAAACTTTTAAGACAAAGCAAGTGACAAAACTTTCTTCCGAAGCATGCAGTCAGCTAAGATAGCTAGTTCACCTATAACAACATCAACTTGATAATAGATTTCATCTTCTTCCACTTTCTAAAATGCAAAAGTTTCTTGACACACATATTTGCATGACAATGCCCAGAAGCAATGCCATGTTAAGTTTAAAGGTACAAAACCCAATTGCCGCAGCCATCATGCCATTGCTAGTTCATTTATATCTTAGATGCAAGCATAAGAGAGCAAGTAATGAAGAAACTTGAGGAAAAAAGAAAGATCTATTACCATTTAGGATAATCGCAGTGGACGGTTCCGTTCAGCTGCGCTTGAGCAGCATTCCACTCATTGGAAGATTTGAAAGGAATATGAGGTGCCGTGTGATGGACCATTGTGAAAGTACTCATCTAAAAACAAGAAACAGATTGCTCTTCTCATTCAGCAAATGTGGACGGCTTAACTAGAACAACCAGGACAACTAAATTAATAGAGCAAAGAAACTTGAAGTGAAAACTCTTAATTATACAGCTTATGATTTTCAATCAATCCAAATCCTAAGATTGAGGCATTCACTGTCCTCAGCTGTACTTGGCAATAATGACTGACTATGAACAACTTCTGACCAAATATCCTGAATGATCCAAAGCTACAAAAAAGATGAGAAGCCACTAGATTCTTTTGGAGGTTATCTTTATTATGACTTGAGGACTACTCATCAACGAATTATTGGTGTCTTCAGTAAAGAAGGGCAACGAAGCATACGTTAATGCAGATGAAAAAGACCATTACCCAAAAATGATAGCCCAACCATGGCATCAACCAGAACTTAAGCCACCCCAAAATGCCAGCCTTGTAAATGATCAATGGCCACCCAATCCCCATAAAAGCAAAAACGCAAGCCAAACTGATCTTCACCCTTTTGACTTCATTTGGTCTGAATTTCTTCAAGTCAAAGTGCCATATCAACCTAGTAGGGCATTTAGTCAGATTAAGATCAATGCAAGTACATGAAAAGGCAACAAATAAGAATTATAATAAACCACCATCAATTTGACATTTTGAATTCGAAGGCATGGAGAGCGAGGAAACAAGTATCTAAATGGAAATAATACACGTTTATAGTTCCATACATACCAATGACCTATAGACATCCAAGGACGAATTGGGCCATATCCATAAATAATTGCCTTGCGCAGAAGAGGAGAAGAGTCAAACTCCTCTTTCCAAACAGGATGCCAAGCTGTATCTTCAGACAACCTATAAATTTACGGATAAAAAGGAGACAACTACAACCATGTGAGCAAGCTAACCAAGGGGAATTTTCTCACAAAGATAAAAAAATAATAATAATAAGAGAAAAAAACAAGGAGCGTGTGTCCAAAACATAACATCATAGACATGAAAGAGAGCAAGGAAATAACATACGGCACATGTGCAAAGTGCAAACAAGTGTCTTCATGTACATTTCCTCACTATATCCAAAGTGTAAAACAAGGGTCTTTAAGAACATAGATTATGCATAGAGTAGATGGCCTTAAAATGGACTATTTGTTAAAAAACAAGGTGGAATATACAGTCACAAGAGCGTTCTGCTTGTTGCTAAAGGACCATCCACTCCTTTATTTCACATCAAAAGGTATTCATAATGGATTATCGAATGCAAAAATCTAAAAGGAGTGTCTTACAGACATGTTAGTTTTTGCATGATGACGGTCGTGCTTAAACCTCCATGGCTCGTAAGGATATATCAATGGTAGAAATGCCAGCGTTCCCACTACATCTTCCACTAATTTGTTCTTCGCAAATGACTTGTGAGCACAATCATGCCCTATAACAAAGAACTTAAAAATGGGAGGGAAAACAAGAAGGGATAAACAGAGCTGTCTAGGAAGTTAATCTAATATCTGGTACAGAATGAAAAGACAACCCATATGAGGAACAAGCAAGGGAATTTTTTACCAAAGGAAAAAAAACAGCAAACAAAGCTTACCCCGGTAACAGCAGTTCCTGTCCATGCCCACGCCAAAGGGAGTAGGTACCATGGGGCTTTTGAAATCATGAACAACCCCAATGCATAGGAAGTAACAGATATCAAAACTGAAGTCCAGGCTTTCCCATCATCAATCTCAAAAACCTTCCATGAAATTTGAGGGCAATAATTGTTAGAAAACTTGCTAACAAGGTGTAACTCTTTCAGCTACACCAGAAAGTTTCTTGTCACCATCTAGCCCTACATATGACCAAGATGCAGCTGATATTAATATCGCATAGTGAAAAGCTTATGTAGTAGTATTAAAAGAGACATTTGTTCATTTATTTGAGGACTGTTCCCAAACAATAGGAGCATAATATTCAAACTAGGAACACCATTGGATTTGTTTTCACCCTTTACAAAAACAACATCCTCAAGTTGAAAGAATAATCTAAATAAATAATCTTGACAAGGAAAATGACAAGATGGGAATGCTTCATGGATAAGAGTACATGTAAGCACATTCCACAGCCAGTAAAGCGGATACCTTTCTGGGAAGTGAATCAATAACATCCTTGAGGGTAACATTTTCAGGAAGAGGTTCTCCAATTTGCCTGAAGCCATAACTATCGGCTAATTGTTTCCGGTACTCAGCACTGTCTTCTGAAATCGGTGGAACAGGAACTGCCACTGCCCTTACAATATGAATCTTTTTAGGGGAGAATGAATGTCCTTTATGTTTGATTCCCTTCTGGAGTTGATTTTCCCATTTCAGATAATATAAGCCTGTCTTCCAACAGAGTATTACGAGAAACCCACCAAAACCAGAGAAATTATTAAAAGCAGTATAGTACCAATTGCCCCATGCAATTTGTTTCGTGTCATTTAAAGTTTAATTTCAAAATAAAACCCAGTATTTCGGTTGGTTTCATCCCAATTCCCAAGATTCCATTATCAAAATGATGCTTGCACTCAAATAAATTCTAGCCTATATGACGATGTCCATGCTTTTAACCAACTGAATAGCCATCGGAGGTATGAGCTGGTCATGTTCATATAGCCTTTGTTGCTCATACCTGAGATTAGGTTGACTTGGTTTTATTTAAAATAAATCAGAGCAAGCAAATCTAATTAAGATGCAATTTCAGCTGACTGAGTTAATAAATTCGGTCAACTAGTAGTAGGGATCAGATTTTCCAACTTGAAGCTATATTTCATGATTCTAGCACTTAAGTGGACCTATCCTTCAGCCATATCATTAGTTTGATGAAAAGAAACAACAGCATACTGAACAAGGCTACATCTGAACTGCTTATTTAAGTAAATGGATCATTTTGATAAGAATGGGTGGGTGGACTGGGTCTGTGTGGCCATGTTGGTGCCTGGGCGTGGATGTGGAGCCGACTCCAAGCTATTGCTCAGCGACCATACACTGGTAAGAAAGTGCATTGTTGACATTTATCATCATATTTTACCAAAACTGCAATCATGTCAGAAGTCCATGATTGGCCACTCTAACAAAATGGACCCTTTAAGCCTCTAACCAGCATTGCATTAGGTAAGACAATTATCTTGATATATAACCAACAGAAGATTTCAAAACATAAAAGTTTATTAAACTCAAGATAATCTGCATGCCTCGGGCAATCCAAATGAGCGTCATCAATTGCAAAAAGTGTTAATTTCAGAATTTTACCAGAAGAGTAAGGCAGTGACTGGCAATCCAAGTTCTATGCAACAAAATGCAATGTACATATATGGCACAAAATCCGTTATCTTAGAAGAAAAAATGGTAGCTTTGAGTGCAATGCATCGTCACAATTAGGATCCTAAATCCCACCACTGAGCACAAAAGCAAATCACTTTTCTTAAAGTAAAGAGTTAAGAACCAGTTTAACGTATCAAATGAATAATCAACCGCAGCCATCACAACCAAATTCTAAACTTAACAGAGCAGATTTAAAGCTTCGAATATACGGCTACTTTGGCTACAAACGGAGTGCACCACCACCAGGGCACAACCAACGGAGGAGGTTTTGACAAAAAGTATAAGTCACTCAATTCATACGTGAGATTAGCAAAAGATAAAACTCCAGGCGAAAAGGCATAATAGAAAATCAAATACCAGGTGAACACTGGGTAGCAATTCTTCGGCTCCGAATTGACGTCTGATGGGGGCCCTGAATACAACATCCACACGAACTCGTCAACAGGGAGGGCGGGCAGTAAATGCTCAGCGACACGTTACATTGAAATTACACAACCAAAGTCCAAATTCAACCAAGAATTTGGAACCAAGAATCAAAATATCCCAAAGAAGCTCTCGCATTTACAAAATGAATCAATCTTGAAGGGCACCCAGACAGAGAGAGACAGAGACAGAGACAGAGAGATGGATACACCTTGAGGAGGAAGACAGAATCTGCAAGCCTGAAAGCCATGAAGAAGCAGAAAATGCAGATAAGAACTTGCAGCTCCAGAGGACCCCCAGAACACAGACACAAACCCAAGTACCCAAAAGATAGACCCCCCCCTCTCTCTCTCTCTCTCTCTCTCTCTCTCTCTCTAGTTATTACAACAGGGGTTACAAAACATGGGATGAGGCGGTGGACCCCCAAGGAGAGGGTCTTCAAATGGCTTTTCTTGCTGGCTTTTTTTATACGTGGGGAAGTTGCCTCCCAAACGTCATCTTCTTTCGTCTGGGGTCGGCATCAAAAGTGTGGATGGCATTTCGCAGGTATCCTCCACCTTTTGTTTTCTCCCTAATTTTCTTCCCCTTTTCTTTATTTTGGGGTACTTTTTTCTTTCTTTCCCTTTTTTCCGAAAAGTAATTTTGTATATATAAAAAGAAAGTGAGTATGCCACTTTTTTTATTGCTTTAATATGACTAATTTGTCGACATGATAGGGCTGTTTCATCCCGCTCTACGACTAAATCCGTTTCATTTAGAGAGACAAAATCACCATTAATGACATTTACACTTCGTTTATTTCGCGAAAAATGTGACGTTTCTAAAAAAACAGTTTTCAGAAAAATGAAAATATTTTCCGGTATTTGACTGAAATCTGAAAATGAACTAGAAAATAATTTTCACCGTTTGGTAGGGAAAATCTAAAAATTACTAAAAAATTCGAATTTTAAATTTTTTCTCTTTCCTTTTCTTTCTTTTTTTTTTTCCTTCTTTCTCGGTTAGTGGTCGGCGACAGTGACGGCCGCAACCGGCTACAGGCGAGGGATGAGCTAGCCGGCCTCCGAGGCTTCCACTACCATATACATTTTCCGACAAAAACCCAAACTTAATAAATTGCCACGCAACTAAACTCGAAATTGATCTGAATTGACACGTTCTCTTCCATTTTTAATGAAAAGCACTTTGTAATCACCTTGAGGTTTTTCAACCAAAAACAAATCACCTTGAGGTTTTTCAACCAAAAAAAATTACCTTGAGGTTTCAGGCCTTTGTTGACGAAATTTGAAGGCGGTGTTGGTTGCATGGAAGAGAGATATGGCGGCTATAAAGAGCATATAGTATTCATTGTCAAGCGATACTTTACAATATCTCAACAGTCTCTTTTGCGTGCAAGCCAAATGAGGAGTGTGGAATTTTAACTGGCTCTAATACCACGTTAGAAAGTCCATCCCAAAAATTTACACTGATCGATAGAGGAACACCACATGAGTATAAGAGCATACGAGATCCACTGTCAAGCGATATAGAACAATATTTTAACATTGGCGATGACTATGCAAGTTGTAGAGACGTGGCGACTATATACCTAGAGAGAATTATGTGTTTAGTAAGGATTTTTGTTCGTGTTGTTAACAATTATTTAGACATTTTGTGCTTTAGATGAGAACACCGATCACACGGACGAAGGAGGAGGTTTCTTCCTACCTAGATAGGAGGAAAACATGGGATACCTTTGAATGAAATAACCATTCTTTCTTGAAAGGAGTTGCTATTTACTTATTTAGGATGGACTCCATATAAGTAGTGCCTGTATTTTTGTGTTTAATCGTAAGGTGTCGATCGCAAAGTTTTCTTTTCTTTTCTTTTCTTTTGCGCCAAATACTGAAAACTTTTAGAACATACAAATGCGGACAAGATTCTTGATAACATTTCAGAAATTGGCGAAAATATAAAAAGGAAAACACTTTTTTACCTCTAAAAAGGTCAAAATAAATGATTTGGTAAAATATGAAGATTCGGAGTGTAGGATTTCTTGGGGGAAAATCATAGATTGAGAAGACACCTATATGACAAGAAAATACCCAACTTGGAAATTTGACTTTTACTGTTATGATAGATAGAGGCGCTCGATTAAATCCTTCATGGATGCATATATTAACTTATCCCCCTCTCTCTAGCACAAGAATAATAAGGCACAATGTAACTTTATCCGGCCCGGGATCGAGCGTGTCCACAACACATTCATAATTACGATAAGATATTTCATAGACGCGGCTAGTTAGAGCTAAGCGACCACATATCAAGAAAAGAGCAAGACCCATAATGAAGCCCTATATTACACTTTCTGAACCGTCAATCGCTTCCATCAACCGCATCATACATCGAATGTGTATAAATAACATATTTCCTTCATCTACGGTGTGCTAGCGCAGCGCGAGACCCGCGTCGGGGAGAGCACCGTTCGCGTCTCGCCGAGCCTAAGGCGTGTCTCCATGCAAACTAATTAGGAAGAAAGAAAGATCCTTGGGTCATGCTTGTTCAATCTTGTCAGCTGATGATAAAATTAGGGCAATTCACGTTGTGCACGTTTCGCATGAATTCCGCACTTAATCATAAACCCTTTGAATCGTTCGCGATTGCGAGTCAGAAACCAGCAATTTATTGGAGTGCGTGGGTTGATCCACTCGTCCTGTCGCTCCTTCCGTCCTAAGTACAGCGACTAAACATGCACGCATTGTCTTTGTTTGGCCATGTCACCATATGCACTTGTCAAAGTCAACAATCCACTTTCGGTGACGAAAAGGAGGCAAGGAAAACGTTGCGACCACGGCAAGACTCTCTCATTCTTGGATTGAACACCATTGATAATCGCAAAGTAGCGTTAGAATTAGGCGTACAAACACAACGAAATAAAGAGTAAAGGCGAGAAAGAGAAATCGAAATACAAAATTTTATCCCAGTTCACCCTTAGATTAGGGCTATATTCTCTCTGTTACAACCATCAATTATAAAAGAAAGATATTATATATACTCAGTAGCTATTCATGAGCCCAAACTCAAACTACTAATAAAATACATGTCCAAACTATAAAAACCATCTGGTATTGCGGGGGTGCTACCCCTTATGACCACCGCCGGGGTGGCGCTTGGACCCTCGCCCGCTCATTGGGGAGCGGGATCCCATGCTTTTCACAAAAATTGTACACAATGTGGGTTACCCCACTTCCTCCAGTAAGAAAGATATTTTTTGAGCTCTTCTTCTACACTCATCAACTCTACATACTGTTGATGTAACTCTTTTCTTCCCAGATTGTGTCCCCATTGTTTTGTGAGGTCGTGTTAGCTTCATCCTCTGCATCACGACCATTTCGTCCTTGAAAGTTACATCTCATTTGTACAATTCCTACTCTTTTAGTTTCATCTTTTTCAACTCAATCTCTACATTAACCGGTTCTATTGGACCGGACCGGATTGACTGTCCTATCCGATTCCCGATTATAGGGCTGGCCGGTCTGATTTCCAGTTTCTAAGTGAAATCGGATGGAACCGGACTGGACTGGGAACCGATCACCCCTTGTATCAACTCCTCTTGTCATCTATACAACATTATGAATCTTCTTAAAAGAAACATGACATTGTAAATTATAAGGTAATAATATTGTTGTCGTTAAAATTTCGCGATCCTCCATGAATTTTCTCTTTCGCGCGATGTAGAAGTAAATCTTATTATATTTTTACGTTGACTTGCTTTCTGGATTATCTATGACTACTGGCGGAGGTGGAAACGCAATGGCTTGCACCTTTTAGTTAGGTACATGTATCTTTCAACCTTTAAGGACACTTTATTGTTAAATAAAAAATTCCTTCCATTGCCTGAGAAGATATCTTTCGTTGACCAATCTTCATCGTGCCAAACATAGAGAAAGACAGTAAATAAATAATAAAAAGAATGTAAATTTTTACTTAGAGAAATTAAATGGAGCTCAAAACAGATAAAAAAATTGGGTTTTTGCCTTGGCGCACCAAATTTTGGGTGTACTTTCGAGATTTAAACAACTTCAAATAATTTCACAATTTTGGTTTTGCCTAATAGACAAATGTATTTTTTTAAATATAAATTTAAAAAGATATTAAGTTTCGGAGAACTGTAAATTGTTCGATGCGAATCTACATATTGATATTTGTAGATCTTGAACGGTTTTAGGTTGATTCCCTGACACGTTTGGTTACGAATGAAAATCGATGCATTACTGCATTTTCGCTAACATAGGGGGAGTTACGAATGAATGAGAATCGATGGGAATGCGAGAATAGAAAAGGCAAGTAGATATGTGGTTATTAACTAAACCTTGCTTTCTATAACTTTTGTATGGAAAAAAATTAATATGGCAAGCATACTTATCTCTTTTTTTTCGGTCGGAAAGCATACTTATCTAATGTACTGTTATTTATTGCAATTTGAAACATATAATTCAACAAAAACATGTATTCCGATTTTTATTATGTATGGCGATTTTTAAGTTAATTCCTATTCCGATTCCTCATAATTCATTTTGATTCCTCATATCTTGTTACCATGTTCTCTTCCACATTTAGATTATGGCATTATTTCAATACTCAAGTTAAGTTCAATTGAGTCCAAGTTGATCACGCCTTATGTGTGAATTAAACTCAAACTCGAGAAAACCGAGTGTCGTCGAGCTCAAATCAAATAGGCGATTCTTGGGAATAACACGAGAAAAGTCTATTTTGATAGGCACGTGGCGCCAAACTTAATTCAACCCGATGGCTGAACACCACTTGGTGATGAACAATTGAATCATTGCCAATGCTCTAAGCTCTTGCTCAATGATCGAATTCAAAAAGGTCCAATGATGCATAATTGGCCATGGCGTGTCCGAGTGCTTCTTTGTAAACCAATCCACAAAAACAACGTGTAAGACAATTTTCTTTGCCTTATAATAGGGATGATCGATTTGAAGGTGAGTTGGTTCTAGATCTAGAATCGGGATTCGACCTTGTGCGCTTCCAAAAGATTGGAACCACAATCCGAGCTGGTCAGTTTTGAAATTGCTGGTTCCGATTGCTTTTATGTTTTGAGTACAAAATCAAATTGTTTTAACAAAATATAAAAGTTATACTATTTCACTACTAAAGCATTTCTTAGTCCACCAGTTATGTTGTTTGCTTATGCTGAAGATTCCATGCTTGATAGGTGCAAATAACTTCATTTTTTCTAAAAGGGACTTCAAAACCGGTTTAAAACTGATTCAACTCAAGTAGAACGGGCGGTTTCGACCTTGGAATTGGAATCGAACCAATCTTGGGCCAGTTCTTGGTCCACGGAATTGGAAATCGAAGCGGTTCTCCCTGGAACAGACTGGTGTAGGCCAATTTGGTTGGTTCTCTAGTTGAACCGAACCCGGTGCTCACTCCTACTTGATGATAATGCATCATGGAACTACTGTTCCCTTTGGAAAATGAGAGAACGTGGAGGGTGGAACGAAAATTTAGAAAAAATGAGAAGCTTTATAAATTTCTTGTGTAATGATGTGTGGGAAATCTAATATTCTTTTCCTATTTTCTGTCCTCTCTTCAGTGTCCCAAAACATAGCACAAAAATGGAATTAGGTTGTGCACAAATATATTTCAATCTGCTTCCTAAATTGAAACCGGTCCATGTTCATGGAACATATGGTTAGATGATGTACCATTGCTTCGACGTTGATTTGCACCTCCAATTTATCAAAGAATAAATAAATACTAGAAATTATAAATTAAAAAAATTAGTAGGGTTCATTTGTTATTTGACTAGTATATGGGCCTGATAATATCATGGGCTGGGCCTGACTAAGCCCAATAGACACTCGGGAAGGTTTGTGCGAATATTTTTAAGTAAGTCCGACCAAGCCGGTCGACCCAAATTTTTTTTAAAGATTTCTCTCCTTTTCTGGTCGGGTTTTGCTTGAAATTGGCCGTAGCTTGGGCCGACTGTTCCAACGGGCCTAACATCTGACGGTAAAAGTGACTTCTGAACATCATGGGCATCCATGTCGGGAAAATTACCAAAAAAGTTCTAAACTTTTTATAATTATGTCAATTCAGTTCTAAACTTTTTTTTGGGGCCATTTCAGTCTTAAACCTTTTGTAATTGTGTCAATTCAGTCCATTCGGCCACTTTTGACCGGCCGGCGCTGACAGCGTCCTGTCAACCAACAGATTTTTTGTTAAATGAAGTTTAAAAAGTTTTGATCGAGAATCGAGCATGAGGCTTGAAGACCCTATGGCATTCCGGCCCGAGGGCCCTCGGTTGGTCCTTTCTCTCTCCTCTTTCGCCGACAAATGGCGACTTTCCTTTTTCCTTTTCCTAGGTAGGTACCTCTTGGATTCGGAGTTTGTTCCCACAAATGCCACCCCGTGAGATATTGATCGTCTTCCCTCCGAAGTTTGTGTCCTGTTGGAGAGGATCTAAAGCAACACGAGCTTTGCACGCTCAGATGAAGCAAGGCAACATCGCGTGCTGCTTTTCACGCGCGAAAGTGAGGATCAAGACGTTGACGAACCACGGATTTCACCGTCGAGAGCCTCGTGGATGTTGTGATATTTTACAAGTGCAATGGTAAAGACTGTGTACATTACTTGTGTGATAGAAAGAAATCTATTCCTTTTCAAGAAAATTTTAAGAGAAGAATATTTTCATGATATAAGCATAGTCATATATAACACATGCGTCTAATAGTATTTATGTGAATAATTGGTATAATTAATTGCATGATATTGAGCAAATATTTATTTTTACAAAATTAAGTAAAATTGGGTTCATTAGGCAAGACATGTTATGTTGTGAAAGAAAAAAAATATATATACAAAAATATATATACGATAATAGGGGAAAAGTTGACTTAATCGCCCGTATTGGAATTTGTAGCAAAATAGGCCGACATTGTGTGAAATAATATTTAATGTAATAGAATAGTTGATTCTACTATACAACATGTATTATGTAATACATAAATTATAGATAATTGTTGTCGTAAATCAATACTATAGCGTAGAGCATAAAATTACCTTGATTCAATCCAATACAAAATATACTAAAACACAATGCTAGAGTTAATTTTACTTAATTAAAGAGTCGCTTAAAAATGACAAACAATCGTGTCAAATTAAAAAGAAAAACAGTCATGATAAATTCAGGTTTAATAAAATAGGACATATGAGATGTTTGACTAGTGTAATGCGAAGTTATATAAAAGACAAATGAACCTACACCTTTAGATCATCTAATGAACAATGCATATTTTTTCCGCGTGATATTTTCTTTGATTACTTAATTTCATGGCTATTGTCATTCTTATAACTCCAGAATATACGATGTATTTATATAAGTTGATTTTATCAAACTTTGAAATATAAAACCTATGCGTGGAATAGATAAATCCACTCGTTTTTCTTTGAATAACCGATCATTGCTCATAGTCAACCTAAGCAGAAAATGGTGAAAAGAACATGATTTAATACCATCCATTTTTTTCACATCCCATTTATATAGGATACCTGGTTATTAGAATATTAAATCACACATTCATTTAATAGTTTAAACTTTTGAATTGAACTTTCTTACACGGTATAGGTCATGAGTTTCAATCTTTCTATGCCTGTATTCACCTAATCAATTACATATTTCCATGCCTTCATCTAATAACTTAAGTTTTTAAAATAATTAACAGCGGTCCCGCAAAATCTTACACTAGTATTGCTTGCTAGAAATTGGCGATCTAACCAAATTGCCGTGCAAATTTCTCTATCGCATGTGTTGACATTTTTCCTTTCTTTTTTTTAGCCCTAGAGCACAATCCACTCTGCAAGTTTCATTAAGTGGTTAAGTTTAGGCCTTTCACCTGTGCGTGTGATGCTGACTTGATGGGGTTTATGCTGGGAGTCATGGAATGGCATGAATACTATCATCTTATAAGATCTCTGAAGGCCGGATTGGTCTCCCATACACAAACTGGTCATGTCGCTCTCCTGATAAGACCATGGCAGGTTGAAACTAGTTATTGTATCAAAGTGATATGTGTGTCTCGCTAAGGGGAGTGGATAGCCGAACTAAGTTGGGCGTGGTACGATCTAATACGAGGATGCTATTCGCCATCTCTTGAGCAATTTATAGTAAGAAGGATGACCTAGTGTTCTCAGCTCACTAGGCGCTGCATAGGCTGTTTCGCGGCCAAGAAATTATCTGCTCGTGAGATTTGCATACAATTGAGGGGATCTGAATGACTTCCAGTTTTTGAATTGGAAATCTCTTGACTTTCCACTTAGTCAACTGCTGCAACTTTGTGGTTTAAAAGGAGTCGAATTAAAAGTGCTAATGAGAGCATTTAGATCAAATGTGTGCTTTTGATGAAAGTAATATATGAGATCAGTATGCAACTTGGCAATAACAACATGATATAGCCGATCAATCATTATTACTATTGTGTTGCAAATCTCATCCTATTTGGCATCACGTGTGTACATGTCTCACTTTTTATTGATCGGTTACCCTACACGTCGCCGCTAGTCACGAGCTCATGCTTTTTGACCCTCAAGATGTGAGGACCTACATGCCTCCATTTAGAGACGGGTACGTTAATCATGTCGTGTAGAAATATGGGTATGACACGAACACAGCAAGTTTAACAAACGCGTCGAACTGTCTCGCCGCAAACGCAGACGCACCTAATAAAGCGGGTCTTACAACAAGACACAATTAAACACGATTACAGAAGGTATCCTCGTGTCGGGCGCCGGCACAAACATGATAAAGTTGACCTGCTTACAAACACACATTAACCCGTGTACACAAGAAGTACACAACATACGTGTACACACTGTAACTCGGGTTAACACGTTGAAGACGCTTCCAGATAATACGAGTAATTTCACTTCACCTTACATCTAGAGCGTATCGTTACGAGCCGAGAAAACGGAGAACAAAAGAAATACCGTTATCGCAAAAATCGCGTAACAAAAGAAAGTAAAAAAGGGGAAGAAAAAAAAAAAGGAACGCAGCAACGAGTCGGCGCGTAGTGATCCCCACGTCAGCTGACGTGGCCACCCCCCAGCAGGCGGTTCTCAGCTGCTTTCATTACTACGTCTCAGCTCCCCCACAATAATAGATAATAATAATAATAATAATAATAAAGAAAAGGAAACCAAAAAAGCCAATTCGGTCGTTGAAGAAGGAAGGAAGGAAGGAAGAAGAAGCACCAAATCCAGAAATCCTTCACTGTGTCATCGCCATCACCGCCATCACCATCACCATCACCATCACCATCACCACCATCATCCTTCCTCCATCTCTCTCGCTACGGACAAAGCATTTCGAATTCGCGGCAACCGACGGAGCTCTTTTCCTTACATGACAAGCCAAGTGTGTCGGCTCCGCCACCGAACGCCTTCAATCACTTCCTCTTCCAGGTCGGTTCCCCCCCACCCCCAACTCCCCGGCACCGATTCCGATTTCCGTTGCTCCGTCGATTTCTGTTGCGTTCTCTGTTGTCTGTGCGCGCGCGCGCTGAATGACGCATGTGCTTTTTTGCTCTCTAGGGCTCTGCGATCGCGCGCGCGCGCGCTTCGGGGACGTTGCCGGGATGGCGTCCTTCCTCAAATTGTTCTACCGGAAGCCCCCCGATGGCCTCCTCGAGATCTGCGAGCGGGTCTACGGTAAGGGGAGGAGGGAAGGGAAGCTTCAATTCGCGTGTGGTTTGTTAGCTTGATTTTGGCATGAGTCGGCGTTTTGGTTTTTGCTGGGGAAATTGAATTGATAGCAACTCTTTGAATCAGCTGATATGTCGGTAAAATTAATGTAATATAGAAGTTCTGGAGAATTTTCGGTTAGGAGAAGTTCTTGGCTGCAAGAGTAGAGCATGTAGCGGTAGGCTTGATGCACGACATCATGTCATGAGGATGGATATAGTAATTAGAACAGAAAGGAGAATGGTGTTTTAGAATTACTGTAAAGTTGACTGGGGCGGGGAGCTGTTTAGTAATTTGTATTGTTAAACACGCGATCGAGAATTATTTCGTCGGTAGATGAGCTGTTGAGACCCTCTTGTGGAAAAGCATGCAGCTAGCTATATCTACATTTTTGAAATCTCAATGCTGAGCCTTTTTTCCTGTTCAGACTACTTGTGTAAAAGAAAAAAAAAGGGAGATGCTGTGGTGACCTCTGTTTCGCTTAGGATGAGCTGCGGAGTGTACTGTACTCGAAACCAGATTGCCTTGATTACGTGAAGTATTTTGTCTGCATTATTCTTCGTATGGAAAAATGGAATTGGCTGCTTGTTAGACCCTTTCATTTGGTTAATACAGTGACTTGGAAATGCAATTGATAAGTGCTCATTGTGACTTTGTTGTTAGTATTTGATTGCTGCTTTGCTACTGATGTGTGGACGGAGGAGGACTACAAGGTTCATATGCGAGGAATAGTTAGTCAGTTTCAAGATCACTTCCACGAGTCTTCTATTCTGGTGTTCAATTTTCGTGAAGGAGAGGAGCGAAGCAAACTCAATAACATTCTCTCTGAGTATGATATGACCATCATGGACTACCCTAAGCAGTATGAGGGCTGCCCCTTGCTGACAATGGAGATGATTCATCATTTTCTGAGGTCATGCGAGAGTTGGCTTTCTCTTGGGCATCATAATTTGCTGTTAATGCACTGTGAACTTGGTGGTTGGCCAGTTTTGGCCTTCATGCTTGCTGCTCTTCTAATTTATAGGAAGCTATACAGTGGCGAGCAAAAGACATTGGACATGGTTTACAAGCAGGCTCCACGTGAGCTTTTACACTTGTTGTCGCCACTTAATCCCGTCCCTTCTCAACAGAGATACCTACAGTATGTCTCGAGGAGGAATGTGGCCACTGAATGGCCTCCTTTGGACAGAGCGCTCACTTTAGACTGCATTATCATCAGGTCCATTCCAAATTTTGATGGGGAGGGTGGATGCCGCCCTATATTCAGGATTTATGGGCAGGACCCCTTTCTCGTTAATGATCGCACTCCCAAAGCATTATTCTCAACTTCAAAGAGAAGCAAAGTGGTTCGGGTTTACAAGCAGGTGACACGTCCTACTTATATCGAATCCATTTTGGTTTTACGTTGTTCTTCTTAAATCTTCCTGGACAGAGTTAAACAGCTCCGTAATAAATATGCGGTTCCTGAAATAAGTAATTTATTTGAATTGCGTCGTCATTAAAATACATGGTTGCTCTTACCTATGTCTATAATCTTATCGTTTTCATTACTGATGGTTGAAGATGTATAAAGGAAAGCTTAACAGGCTTTTACAAATTATCTTTGAAGTTGAAGAGTTTATAGATTGCATGTCCTCTCCCCATTTGACCTCTAGGAAGATGTCTAGGGTTTTTCTCAATAGCGCGTGTTATTAATTTCTTATTTCCTACAGAGATGTCCTTGGAAGACTTGAAATTTTTTTAGATTTAAGGTTGCTCAATTGATTGGGGTGTCATACCTTAGTAGATGGTTGAACGCATTTACAGCTCATCAGTTGTTAGTCATGATATTCTGAGTGAATATATCATCTTTTATATACGTTAAATTAGATTTCTCCAATATATCAATTGATGCTGATTTGCAAACATACCGCGCGACGAAACCTGTAAGGATGTTACTTTTGGAGACTGATCTTCTAAAGTAGGAGAGAAAAGTTTGACACCGTCTGAAGTCTCAGCTATCTATAAGCACATTGAAGTGGTGCTAAAATGCCCCATATATTCAATTTTTCACTAGCATTTTCCCCCATCGGTTTAAACAACACTCTTTCTTTTTGATGGAGACATGCTTGAAAATTAGCTTTCTCCCTTTCTCTGCAGCGCTATTCACAAGGCAGAAATTGATAAATAGAATCAGTTATTGAAGATGTTAGAAAACTTAGTGGAGCATCAAAATTTATCAGCATCTCAAATTTACGGTTTGCTTTCTGATACCAAGGCAATTAGGTAAAATTAATCTGATCAACATTTCGAAGCTGAAGAATGATTGAATTCCATTGTAGTACTCTGGGTCTGGAATGAACAATTCAAATGAAGCATAAATGATTGTTGTTCGTCTTCAATCCGGCAATTCGACCTGATTTTAAACTGCCAGTTGGTCTTGGTTTTTGGTATATGCTAGCAGTGACACATATCATTTTACTCTTCCGAGATTTCACTTTTCTCGTTAATGTTGTCTCTCCCTCCTTTGAGAAGGTTGATAAAGGTTTTTTCTGAAACCTTTGTTCCGATAATCTGCAGGCAGAATGCGAGTTAGTTAAGATTGACATAAACTGCCATATTCAAGGAGACGTTGTGCTTGAGTGCATAAATTTATTTGAAGACTTGGAACGAGAAAAGATGATGTTCCGCGTCATGTTCAATACAGCTTTCATCAGGTCAAACATTTTGATGCTTAATCGTGATGAAATTGATACCTTATGGGAAGCTAAAGATCTATTTCCAAAGGAATTCAGAGCAGAGGTATATCTGATGCCACTTTTGTTTAACTGCAGTCTTTGCAGAGATATATTTTTCTTAGCATCCATGTTATGCTGAACTTAATAAACTATCTATCTTGTTGATGAAGATCCTCTTTTCTGAGATGGATTCCGCTGCTTCCGTTGTTCCCGTAGATATTTCGTGCTTTGAGGAGGAGGGCCTTCCGATAGAAGCATTTGCTAAAGTTCAGGAAATTTTTAGCCATGTAGAGTGGTTGGCTCCCAACACAGATGCTGCAATTAATGTCATCCAGCAAATGAAAGTTTCAAATATAATTCAAGGAAAATCGGATGCTGATTCTCTACATGTTCTGGAAAGTTTCCCCTTATCAGCTAAAAAGAGTCCTGAAAGTATCAGAGAAGAAAGTGATGAAAAGATGTTAGAAAGTAAGATGGAGAAGCACGGTTCTGTTTCCTTCAGTCTAGAGGATCAATCAGTTCCCCAAAAGCCATCTCCAGGGAGAAGAGTGGAGGCTACTCAGACTACCAAGCATTCTCCAGGTTACATTGATTCTGTGCAAGCTTCAAATCTAGTGACGACAAAACAAGAGACTACTGCACCTCTTGGTCTCGCATTTGAAAGTCAAATTGACGATCTTGCCTCATCTGAGAGGAAAGCAGAAAACCCAACAACGGTATCCTCAGACCAAGCAGTCCAAATCAAGTCTCAGAATCTTTCCCTTGAGCATCTAGGACCCAAAAGTGTCTTAGTTTCACCGCCAACACCTCCTCCACCTCCTCCTCTTCAACCTGGTTTTTCTGCTTCCACCTCTTCTCCTCCTACATCTCATTATCCCTTGTCTTCAAAAGCAGAAAATTCACTTGGTGATGAGATAAATTCTCACATAGAGGGAAAGGAGGAGTCTACTCCAGCTCATCCCATGCCACATTCTCCTCCTCCACCTCCACCACCACCACCACCACCACCACCACCACCACTACCAGGTTTGAGACCAACAGCTTTAGCTGGTGAAGAGGTCACTTCTCGTTTACATGATATGAACAAGCATTATTCAGCCAGCTCTGCAGCCGAGCTACCTCCTCCTCCTCCTCCCCCTCCTCCTAGCCCTCCGCAGCCATCTTCAAAAACACCAACACCACCTCCACCACCAATGCCGCCACCGCCGCCACCACCACCAATGCCTCCTTTGAAGGAGATTCAACCAGCGAATGTGAGACCTCCACCACCTCCGCCACCTCCTCTTCATTCTGGGCAAGCTATGGGTCCTAAAGTTCCCCCTACCGCACCACCGGCACCCCCTCCTTCCCCTGTCATGGCCAAACAGTCTGGAGCTACAGTGAGGAACTCCCCACCTGTTCCTTCTGCGCCTCCTCCTCCTGTTCCTTCTGTTAAAGGTGTACCGAAGACTGGTGGAGGACCTCCTCCAGGTCCGCCATTGAGTGCTTTCAACACTGCAAAGGGACGAGGCTTGTCACGTACTATAAGTTCCAAGAGTAGCAACATGAAAAAGCTAAAGCCTTTACATTGGTTGAAGTTATCGAGAGCGGTACAAGGAAGCATTTGGGCTGAAACGCAAAAATCTGGAGAAGCTACCAAGTATGATTTTTTAGTATTATATTTCAAAGGTAGTCTGTTAATATGGTAGCAAATAATTTGTCTTGCAACAATTTGTAGGGCTCCGGAAATTGACATGTCTGAGCTGGAAACTCTTTTCTCAGCATCTGTGCCGGTTTCAGATCACAGCAGAAAAAAAAGTGCACGTGGCTCAGATGCACGCAAGGCAGATAAAGTGCAACTGGTAATTATATGTTCTGATAATTCTATGTTCTTGGCTCCAGATGTTTGGGCCGTATTCCAGTTTGATGGCTTTTGTTAGTCGGCAAACTCAATCTTGGTATATTTCAGCCCCTTACTAGCATATATGATCCAAGGGAGCAAAATTCAATGACTGCTTATTGGTCAATCTTGAATTTACCACCTTGGACACATTGAAAAATTGGCAAATCCATTGGAAGTTGCATTTAGTGATGATGCATATTTCTGACTGTATGCACTGGATTACATGTCATTTATTATAAGCCTACCTGTTTAATACTCAAATATACATCAGAACCTGTCTACTTAAATGGTTTCAGGACTTTAACCATTCATTGGGGTATTTGGCTTCTGCTAGAAACAAAATGACCTATATTGGAAATACTAAAAAGTACTGCAACCCCTATTACAGCTAATAATAAGCCATCTCTTACTAAGTAGAATGGCTATTTAGATTTTTTGTTTATCCAGTATTGTGTTTTTAATTGAAGAAATGGCAAATTTGATTTCGTTCTATCCATGGGCTCATTTGCATGATTACTTATATGTAAAATCTGTTGTAATGGCAAAAGATTTTCTAATGCAAGACCTTTGGGGTAGAAAATCTTTGTTACTTTCCAGTAAACTTCTTACAGTAAATCCATATAAATGAGTCATTCTGAGAATTTTTGCCTCTGCCCTTGATGCTTTTCTTCAATAGTTATTATTCTTGAGGTTTACTGTAGCATAATTTCCATATTGTCGGAGCAAAGTCAGTAAGTTAACTTACTGTTTTCCTCTTCTATAGTTGGGCTTGATTTGCATGTAAATGGTTCGTCAGACAAATCATTAAGTTGAGGTATCTTATTATGTCTCTGGTGTATATAAAGAGTGAAGCTATGACACAAATTTTCGAAGATAATGTATGAACTTTCGAACTCCAGGTTTAATAAATGACAATGATTTTTGGAGATGGAGTACAGGCTGTCAAATTAGGTCATGTGTTTTAAACATTTCTTTTATTCATTTTGTTCCACGATGTTTTATTTTCATTATATTTGCATTTAGCAGATTGGTGTTTGCAGATTGACCACAGGCGAGCATACAACTGTGAGATTATGCTTTCAAAGGTCAAAGTGCCATTGCATGAGTTAATGGTAAGCTTGATGCTGCTATGTTTTGCATTAAAACTCTAATATAAGTGATGCTGATAAATGCTTTTTAACTAAGCATCGTAACCTGTAGTCTTGTTCTCGTATTGCTTTCTCTATATAGGACGATAAGTTGATAAGAGCTGCATACTCATGTAACGCAGTCTCTCTAATTTAATTGCACTTCAGTACATTCTTAATAATTCTTTTCTTGTTTATCATATCTGTCCTTATTAAGTGGGATTTCAATGACGCTTCCGTGGTTGGATCAGTTGACCTTATGACTGCCAACACTTAATCTCAAGTAGAAAACATATTGCATTTATGGTTTGTAATGTTTGGCTTGCTGGACCTCTGTGATCTCTTCAGTTGCAAGCTGATCTTTGTTTTGTATCTTTTTGATATTTTCATCTTGATGCTTTTCTAGAATCTTTTCATCTGCTATTTTGGTGGATTTTAAAGCATGTGAATGACACGATGGCTACAGCCTTTTTTCATGTCTCCTTGATCGATCAATCATTGAACTCCTCAGAGACATCGGTGGTGCATCTTTGATTTTCCTACGGTTGACAATTTGTGATAATCATATTGCATAACATGATGTAGGACAATGAATGAGCCTAATTTTAATTGAATGTTTGAAGGGAACTTGCAGCAGAGGACAAGTCGAGTGGATTACATTTCTTTAGGCATCACACCTAAAGTTTCTGAAGCATTGCAAGTGGTGTTTTTTTTATCTTTAAGAATCACACTTTAGAGACACGGCTGGAACCTAGATATTGATTCTTCTTTTTCTCCGCGACTTGCATCACATGATTCAAAGCAAACAATTCTTTAAGGTCCAGGAGAATCGACTTTACTGCTCAATTTGTTTCCACCAGATGGTAAACCGATTGGAAATAAGAAACCTAGGATGATACTTTGAGCTGCAGGGATATTTATTGAAATCTCAAAAGATCTTAGTTACTTATTCAATCAGCAGAGTAATCCTAGTCCTATTAGGTCTTATAACTGACTCGAGGATCAACTTTAACAGATCTTCATTAAAAAGTGAAAACAATGTTACTAATTCTACAAAGATCAATTTGTTTGATCCAGTGGGCAACATGAAATACAGTCGTCACTCAATGCCTGGTTACATGTGCTTGTGTTGAGCTAAAATTATGATATAATAAACAAGTGATCCCATCTGTCACGTAGAAATAAAAGTTCATCTTCTACTTGGTTGACCCTCTTTAAATCTTTTAAAGGCAGATTAAGCAGGTTCGCTAGTTATTTCTGCCATCAGGACACTTCTTGGACAGTTCTCAAACATCTTTATATGAATCTTCACCTGCTTAAATATGAAAAGCTGTTTGGTTAAGCATGTTCTATGCATCGCATTTTTTTTATGTGCTTGATAAATGGTTTAGGTTCATGCTACAAAGATGTGGCATGATTAACAGACGTACTTGTTTTAAATCAGCAAATATTTGTAATGCCAGTACTTGATACAACTGTTATGACCGCAAACATTAATTCCCAGCCCTTAATGTTTCTACAATGACCATCAGTAGCAATTCAACACTTTACATCTAGTTGTTATTCTTTCTCATCCGTGATGTTTGTACTGCTCGATTTTGGTTTTCATCATTCTTTGTTATGTCGGTATTATTTGAGCAAGCATGCTAGACTATGTAACTTTTTTTTTTCTGGCCCCCCTGTTCGAAGGTAATTTGCCGTAAACGTTTATGTGGTTAATGTTTCACTGAGTACCTTAATATATCTAGATTTATATGACAGAACTCGGTACTTGCTCTAGAAGATTCTGCATTGGATAATGACCAGGTGGAAAACCTCATAAAGTTTTGTCCAACAAAAGAGGAGATGGAACTACTTAAGGTAGAGCAAACTTCTTGTGAACTGATAAAGTCCTGCAGATATATATCTATAGCTCAAGAAACTGCTGTTACCTTTCGTTTGAAGATTTATTTCTTGAGTGCTCGAATTTCAGGGCTACACTGGAGAGAAAGAAAAATTAGGAAGATGCGAACAGGTTTGTATAAGCCCATTCTCTTTATATATATTTAATAACCGTTATTCTACATCAGATACATATTCCTAATACCTTTTTTTTGGGCTGAGCACATTTTCTACTTGACAGTAATATTCTGTACTTTCTAGATGCTTAGTCTGTACATGCTTTGGACTAGATGGACATTCTTTTGTACTTAGATGTCTAACCAAATTGAAATGTTACATTTCTGGAAAGTAATAGTGATAGAAGTCACATGTAGTAAAGCTTAAACAACCATAAACTCATATATAGTTGATGTGCTTTGAGCTTTGGTGCGACTAAACTAGACAGATTTTATACGAGCTAGACATGCTTGTTAATAAGTTGCCCATGATATAAGAGTTAAAAGATGTTGAGGCAATTATAGGCTCCTCTGGATCAGACATGTGCCATGCGCTTGGTTTTATAAGTTTTCCGATTATGAGCTTGTGAAAGATAAGGGAGAGGTGCAAAAGTATTAGAGTTATTTTGTAAATCAGAATTGTGATTATATCTTGCGGTGATAGATGTGAAATGCAGTTTCTGGAGTTGGAGTCTATGCTCAACCTCTTTTCCTACTTTGCATGGTTTAGTTGTGTACTTATCTCCTTGTGATTATACTAAGGATAAGTGTGTACTAAGTAATACAACAGAAAGAAACAGTTAAGTAGAGTTTCCAATCTTGCTAATTAGATGGAGTCTCCTTAAAACCCTCGGTACTGAACACCTTGGAGAAGTATGGTGGATTCTTAATTATATATGATGCCTTTGACATGCCATCTGATGAAATATACTGGGATCTATTGCAGTTCTTTTTAGAATTGATGCAAGTGCCCCGAGTTGAATCCAAACTGAGAGTTTTTTCATTTAAGATACAGTTTTCAACCCAGGTGAGAATAATTTGTCTGGTTCATCTTCTTGCAAATTGTCCAGCATTATTCTCGGTGTTAATTTCGTTTCTTCCCTCAGGTTGCTGACCTCAGAAACAACTTGAATATAGTGAACTCTTCTGCTGAAGAGGTACATGATTTGTCCTTTTTGACTAGCTTATTAACACCAGAGGCGAGAGAAAACTTTGAGCTGAGTTAAGCTGCTACAAGCAGCATTATTACATTCCCTATCAATTGAAAGACCTCCAGGTCATTGTAGCCAGAGGTTGACAAGAGAGAAAGGCAGAGATAGAGAATGTAGTAGTATGTTCAGTGGCGAACTATAGGAGGACATGAAATTGCCAGAGCTTTGAGAGAGGGAGGGATTTATGATGTTCTTTAGTCACACAAGCAAGAGAGTGCTGAATCAGCCGGTGAGGTCTTTCAAATATTGAGCTGAGGTTTCGGGTTGGAGATGCCCAAAGTAACAAATGTGATGATGGCATCTGGTTGTGAGTTTTTGTGCTAACACACACTTGCTCGCGTCATCAAGGTGTAATTCATCCCTTTGAATTTATGAAAAAGTAGTAATAAGAATGAGAGGTGTTAAGCTTTTTATCATCCTGGCGTCGAGCTATTTTTCCAGAGAGAGAGAGAGAGAGTCCACATCAGCAGATTGCAGCATCAATTTTGCAACCAGCTGCAGGCTAGCCTAACTCAAAATTTATGTGACTTTATTCTTTACCGTCCCTATCAGATCAAGAATTCTGCGAAACTGAAGAGGATTATGCAGACGATACTCTCACTTGGGAATGCCTTGAACCAGGGGACCGCCAGGGGTGAGTTTGTTGAAACGTTTATTTTAGGGTCCTAGTTTGTGGATTATGATTTATTCTCTATACTTTTATTAATTTTTCAAAATCTGTCGGAGTTACTGTAAGCAATAATTTAAGCCCTATTGGAATTACTTTTGCTTCAACTTTTTGCTTTTGCTTTTCCTCTAATAATAAACCTCTTGGATCTTATGACAGAGAAATTAAAACATTTAAGATCATTTAAAATCATGTAGACGCTTTTCAAAGCTCAAATTAAAATATATAATACTTTGAAATATGGCAGCAAAGGTGGTAAAGATTTTGCTTTAAAAAGCTGAAACAAACTGGCAGCTAAATAAATGAACTGAGAGGACAATCTTCCAATGTTATGTGTTAGATTGGATAATCCTTTTAGTCAATATTAATTCATTAATGGCTGTATATATAGCACTAGGGTTTCATACTGTTTTTTTCTTTTCTTTTCTTTTTTTTTTGGTTGGGGTGGGGGGGTTGTGCTTGGTTTGGGAATTTTACATGACTAATCATGATGCAATCTGGGTTGGATGGGGTAACCGTGTGTTTACAAAATGGTGAGTGTAAGAATGTCATTGTGCTGTCAAACTCCAAGGTAGGTTCCAAAGGTCTGTGTTCGAGCAAGGGTATACCCTTTGAACGGGATACTACGGTTTGTTTCTAACTAAATTATTCTCATAGGGGCAATGCTTAACTGAATGAATGGATTCAAGCAATGACCAAGTTCTTCTATTTTTTTAATAAATAAATGCCAACTTACCCATCTGAAGTAAGAGCAGTTTTGGTTTTATCAATTTATCTGTGGAAGTATCTTATGCTTGGTGATGATGACTTTATGTTGTAAGCTTTATTTTGTGGTAGCAATATCGCTTGTTTGTCATGGGGAAAAATCTTATGCTTGAATTCCCTTTTTCTTTACCTTTTCTTTTTTTTTTTTTTTGGGTCCAGGCTCTGCTATTGGCTTTAGGTTGGATAGCTTGCTCAAGCTAACTGAGACACGTGCTCGGAACAATAAGATGACTCTCATGCATTATCTCTGTAAGGTGATGATTGCTAGCTCTGGCCAGCGACTGATGACAAAACTTTTGCACTATTTATGTGAAACTAGCTTTACGATTGAATAGGCACTCATTCTCCTTGGGAAGTCTTTAGTAACTTAATCATCTCCATATTACACATAAGTGAGGTCTTGCCAGGCTTAAAACTCATTCTGATGACCGAAAACTGCTAAATATATGAATGTTAAGAGTTTAGATTTGTGCAGAGTAGTGACAAATAAATGGTGGCTTGAGAAGGAAAACAGAAAATAAGGAAAATATGGGCTAGACGTCCCTGCAAATTCTAATATGGCTTTCGAAATTTGATGATGAAATTTGGTTCTCTTTCCTGATTGTTGTCGTGAAGTTGGTCTGTACATATCAATCATGAAATAGTCTTTATCTTTATGGATTTATAAAATATACTCTGGATTAGGTGGGACAGGTATTGGCTCATTATTATCTGAACTTACGTAAACCTTTTGTCAGTTTAGTTTATGTTATTACTTTTATTCACCGGAATGAAATAAACTGACAGAAGGTGTTCTCCTCCTCCGGTTACGTTTGAACTACCACAGCACTGTGGCATGTGGATTAAATGATCTGCAGAGGCTAATTTGTACCGAGTTGTCAAAAACTAAAGTTTGATGATGACATGAACTTTTAAGAACTGCTGGATACAATGAGAGATGTATGAATATGATTGTTTTATAAGAGTTAGCTGTGGAAATGAATCACTCCCTCTATTTATTAAGCCTGCTTGGGCCTTTGCCTTGGTGACATCGTTTATGTGACGTGTTCGTTTATTCTGGTTTATATTTGACTTCTTCATTTCATCCAAATGACAATGTTCATATACTTTCATTTTTGTTACCAGCAACTCAAGTGCGTTTCTCTGAGGAAGTTTCTCTGATGTGCTTGGTTTTTTTTCCTTGATGAGCTTTAGGTACTAGCTGATAAACTACCAGAAGTTCTAGATTTCTCACAGGACCTGGCGCATTTGGAACCAGCATCCAAGGTACTTTCTGTAACCATTCATGAAGTAGGAAATTTACGGTCTGCTTGTCCTTTCCTGAAAGAAGTACTTCTTGCTCTCGTTCCAACATTTACAATTGGAAAAAAAATGTTCGAGCTTTAGAAAATCATGAGAAAAAGATAAAATGACTCTACATGTCAACATTTGTATTTTTGAATGTTTCCAGTGTTCAGCATTAAAAAGCAACAGTCTCTCCTGGCAGACCCTACTTGGCCAACCTGACAAATATGTGTCATTTCTTTTCAGATACAAGTGAAATTCTTGGCAGAGGAAATGCAAGCAATAAGCAAAGGGTTGGAAAAGGTTATGCAGGAATTGTCTGTGTCTGAAAATGATGGTCCTGTTTCAGAAACTTTTTGCAAGGTTTGTAGAGCCCGACAATACTATTTCCAATGATTCTATCCTCAAATCTGCCTATCAATGGATGACTGTTGACTGCCATTTATCACGATAATTACTATTGGTGATGGTGATTGAGGGGCCAGGTCATGAGAACGTTGGGGTGCTCCTTCACCCAAGTTCTCAATGAGTTCAAATGTTTAGGATGTAAATAGATGTTATTGAAGTCAGAGGAGGATAACAGTGGTTAGTTAGCAGGATCCGCGAATGGAATTTTCAATAAAAATTATGTGTTAGCTTAACGAGGTAATAACCGCCATTTCCACTATTATATAAGGGAGGCAAATAGGCAAATTGTTTATTTTGTACTTTGTTGAGGAAAGGTTTGACTGAATATATATCCTAAACTTTTGTTTGATTTGAATTTCATAATGGCGCTTATGAAAATGTGGCGATTGTTGGATCCTAAATACAATAAAATGCGGAAACTGATGTTTTAGCTTATTTCTGCAGACCTTGAAGGAGTTCCTTCGCTCTGCTGAAGCTGAAGTGAGGTCTTTAGCTTTACTCTACTCTGGGGTGGTATGTCTCATAATTTGGCATGAACAATAGAACTGAGCTTGTACCATTCTCTGTATTGGTATACAATCATAATAACTGGGAAGATGTATTTCAGGGTAGAAATGTGGATTCATTGATTCTCTACTTTGGAGAAGATCCAGCTCGTTGCCCCTTTGAGCAAGGTACCGTTGCTAGTCAATATTGAAATTCTGGTTCTGCTAAGGGAAAGAATGGTATACTGGCTTAGTTTTGAAGATGATATTGCCATCATTGTTCCGTTTGCTTGACAATATGTCAGCTGGTGAATATACAACTCTTACAAAATCATGTCAAATGATATATAGCCATGTTTGCCAATGTGATATAGTCTCATATGAAGTCTGAGCTTCGTCAGACAAAATCCAGCCTTAATTTAATCTGCTTCTGAGAGAATCTTCTTCTGACAAAGTTCTGTATGATATTTGACAGTCGAATTAGTAGTATTTAGTTATCCGGATCACTAGTAGTTATTCAAAAAGCGAATGACAAAACAATGAACAGACAGGTTAAAAGATTGACAAAGCAAATTGAGTGTCTTTTCTACTAGTGAATAGGGTATTTTGACCTGTACTTTCTTGAAGTATACGCATACAGTGGGGGATGGTTACGACTATTTTGATATACCCTCAGCTTTAAAGCTATATTGATGGATTATGAGAAATCGAAATGCGGTTTGAGAAGATACTTAGGTCAAGGCAAGAGGCTGGAGCCACAGGATAAAAGTATTTCATGGTACATAGTGTAGGGGTTGTTGATGCATGGTCTCTTTTCACAGCAATTGTGTTAGCTAAGTTTCCTCTTAAATACTATTGCAGTTGCCTCGACTCTTCTCAACTTTGTAAGAATGTTTAACAAAGCCCATGAGGAGAACTGCAAGCAGAAAGAACTTGAGATGAAAAAAGCAGCTGAAACTGACAAGGCGAAGCTAGGCGATTCTCATAAGAAGGCTGATCATCAACTACAGACATCGCTTTTGATGAGTAATGTTCTATGATCATGCTTTCATGTAGGTCAAGAAAGGAGATGTTCAACTTAACCTTCTGCTTACAAAGATGGCAATGGAAAATCAGGTAGTTTAGCGGCTAGTGAATAGAGTGTACATATTGACCAGCAGCACAATTAGGTCCAGCTGTATAGTGACACAACTTGCCTCTAACCGCAACCTTTCTTGGTAAGTTTTCTCCATCTAATTGAACAGCCTGCCTCGATACACGCCTTCTTTTATTTAACATGGAATCTTCACACGTTCCTCTCAACAGAAATTTTTCCATTATGCGACCTCTCACCCGTTGGCTTGACGAAGAAAGGCGGTTAGCCGGTAAGGAATAAATCATCTGATTGGCAACTGTAAAAGATCCAGATAAGCTAGTTATGAATAATTTCTAGGGACATAATTTCAGGGTAGGAATTTTCTAACACCTGCCTCTGCATCCTCTTTTTAAGGTTTTGTAGAAGTTGTGAATTACCTGATTTGAATGACCTCAACATAATAATTTCCTTCTGTAGAATATCAACTTGTGTTGTAGCACAGGTATTATTGTGGAACTTTTTCTTTCTTGATAACATCATCATGTTTTCCGTTATCGCTCTTGTTCCATTTAGTATTTTATGTCTTTTGATATTGTAACTTGCTAGTCCACCCAATGCTGTTTAATCTGCACTCTACTTTAGGATAGTACCGAAAAGAATCCCGGGTACTCCTGAAAGTTCGCTTCCTACCAATATCAGGTACGAGAATTACTTGCCTGGAGTACTACAGTAGTCAACACGGCATTCGTTCATGTCGATCGAGCTCATGAATAGCAGAGCAACCATGTCGGCCGCATACTATGAGTAGTGTCGGACTGGCTCTTGCTCTTGCAGTAAATTCATTCTTAGTGAGAATTGAATTGTGGAATTAGGGACTAATGTGTGCTTTTAAACTCAAAGATTCATCATCAATTATCATATGCTCCGGACAGGGACGATAAGAAAAAGAATATCTTTCCTCGTCTCCTTTTTATCTGGATTCTGGAGCAATATGACATTATGTTATGACAAAAACAACACATGATTAGCTGTCCAAGGACCGGTCTGGCGACCCCGATTTGCTTTCCCACAAGATTCAAATAAACAAATAAATTAATTAAAAAAAAATTGTTGGCGCAAATGTTGGCTGATGTGAACAGTGCCTCTGGCCAGTAAGTCCTGGAGTTAGTAGGAGAATACGTTGTAAGAGAGCACTTGTTCGCGAATCGAATCATCCTTAATTTATTCCAATCAATTCGAGGAAAATCTCGTAAAACAATTTTTTTTGGTTTTTCCCTTATCAACTTGTAAGAACAATGCACGTAATTTGACCCCGGAGGGTCAACGCGATTTTCCCATATTTTAGGTTAAAAAACGTGGGAGTCGCATTGAATAAAATACTCGAGATCAAAGACAGCAGTTTCCAACTTTCAAGATTTTGTATAATTGCGTCTATTAAAACATTATAACAATAAAAAATAAAAATATAAGAAAGGTGGCAGCAGGTGACCCGCCCATCAAGCCTAAAGAAAAGCGTGGCGGAACGTGAGACCTGTGTAAATGTTCCGTTCCTTCTCCTCCCTCGGCGTTGAATGCCATGCAGCTACTGGCTTTGGAAAAAGTAATCTCCCCCTCGCACCCATCACGTGCCGTCGACGGAATCGCAGGGCGTGGGGGCCAGCGCGCGACCAGAAGATCGCCACCGTCGCTGGCGGTGGACAGGTGGCGCGTCTGATCATTGTCTCCCCCAAGAACGATCCCGATGTACCCTCTGCAAATTCCCAAGAACACCCCCCCCCCCCCCCAAACCATGGATTTTCCCCCAATTTAGGGTTTTTCTGCTGCGTTTCGTTTTCGGACTTCAGTGAAGTTCTGGGTCGGTGTGCCAATTCCGGACTAAACAGTTATTAATGATTAGGGATTTTGATATGGATTTTCTACAAATTTAAGTAATTCATTAAGAAAACTCTTAGGTTGCGTTTGTTCGACCGGATAAAAGTCAGGATAGGATATGTTTTATCATATCCTGTGTTTGGTGGTGGTCCAGAATAGGATAAGGTCGGATATAGATCGGATAAAAAAATCCGAGGGGGGTGGGATAGACCTGGATAGGATTTCTAATGCCTATTTTTCCAGAAACCCTACGCTCCACTTGTCGTCATCTTCATACCTACTCCTTGTGCGCTTTCACCAAAAAAATTTCTCGGCTTTTTTTCCTTCACCGACTCCTCCGGACCCGTGAATAGCAAAAAAAAAAAATTATCTTATCCGACTTTAAATCCGTAGTCTACCAAACAGTGGATAGGATATGAAGAAATCCCAGGATTTCTTATCCTATCCTATCCAGTCCTATTCTGTTTAGAAATCCGGACAACCAAATGCAGCCTTACAGTTTTTTAATGTACTGAGATCTTATTGAGGACAGTCCGCTTGGGCGCTCGTTAACTATGCTTATCGTAGAATCGTTTTTGATTTTCGATGCACCGATTAGGCATGGTACGAAAGAGACCGGTACATGAAAAATAATAGACTTTCTTTAATTAGGCGCTTAACGGGTTGTCGACAAAATTTAACACACGCTTTGTTTGATTAAGTGTAATTAACAAGTGATCCGAGACCGCCCGTTATACCGTCTTCTAGAAATATTCGCTACTTTTTTTTTTTTAACGTTGGGATTCCTCATCGAAATTAAGACCAAGAAATTACATTATTACATCGTCGTCTTGCGTCGGTGAGCGTTAAAGAGAGAGACAAGCGCTTGCTTGTCGCCATCCGAATCCAAAGGGGAGAGCTCTCTCTCTCTCAGTCTCGCTCTAACAACGTACGATTTGGCCTCACATGGTCAGTCCTCCAAAAGGGCTCATCAATTGTATATGTCTCCCACTTTTTCTTTAGTGACGCTTTTGATTCCATCGGCCGGTCCTCCGCCAAACATTCTCTTCCCCACAACACAACCATGCGATCAAATCATGGTTCGCACTCGATTTTTCTAACTGTTGAAGGAGCGGGCGATTCACGTTTTTTTTGGACCACGGATCTCTCTCGGTGTAAAGAAGATCAGCTGAGATGATGTACCTCTCTTAAACATGATCACGATCAAGTTGTAGGACGACAACTGGGTCATTGAGATGCCAATTATTATCGTGGGTAGCACTATCGTTGTTATCATCATTATTGTTGTTATTATAATCGTTATGATTGAACATAACATTGGCCCTTTTAATCTTTCTTTCCGATAATGTGCCGTGATATTAATAGCGTGTGATGTTCATCGACCGGCTTAAGCCCTAATGGGATGATGATGGCTCCGACCATGTCTTTGATTGGTGGTTACAAACATGTACATCACTCACACTTGTACCTGATTAGATCGATTTCAAATTGCTTAGTACATGAGTTTTCCAAGGTGTGGGTTGGGTTGTTTTTAATTTCGGTCGGGATGAGTTTGGGTTATTGGCTTTTTTAAATCAACTCGGATGTGAATTGAGTTTGATCTTCGGATGGGTTCGTCGAGTTTATCAGGGTTAAGTCGCAAATTGCCACCTCTACCTAAATGGCAACACCCGATATTTCCCTTGCTAAAAATAAACGCAAAACAATGGGATAATTGTCCAAAAAATCATAAACATAGTATACGGCAATCAATTTAATCTTAAACCTTTCAATTGTGTTAATTTAATCCTAAACATTTTTTCAACCAAAAAAAAAAAAAATCCTAAACATTTTAATGATTTTCTAATATAATTCTTCCGACTAATTTTGGCCAGAAATCGCTAACGTGGACCCTGGCCATACAGTCAGCGCAGATGTGGACAATTTTTTCAATTTATTTTAAATTTTTTTATGAATTCTTATTCTTTTATTTTCTTCTTGAAATTAAAAAATTAATAGAAAATTAAATAAATTGAAAAATTGAAAAACCTATCCACATCAACATTGGCCATGCCACGTAAGACGGTCAACATCCATATCAGCAATTTCCTGCTAAAATTGGCTGGAATGACTACATTGGCAAATCGTCAAAAGGTTTAAGACTAAATTGGCACAATTGAATTTAAGACTGAATTGACTATCATACAATAAGTTTAGGACTTTGTGGACAATTTTCCTCGGAACAATCCAACACTGAATCCAAGAAGATAGGCAAATTTGAGGACAGGTTATACATGTTGGTGCTTGTACTTTTGGATCAGAATGATCATTTTGTTCCTTCCCTGAGAGGCATAAGTTTGACATCTTCTCATTTTGGGTCATGTGGATATGTTTATACATACAAAGGAACGGCATTGCATTATTGATTGTACATTCAATTCAACCCTGCCAAAATTTAATAGAAAAAGGTAGACAAGATTGTCACTCTTGATAAAGTAAGAAAATTTGACAGTTTAGTCCTTGAATAAAGACTAGCTACTTTTCCACTTCCATAGATATAATAGGGAGATTTGTTAGGAAATCAGAAAGATAGATTACATTACGTAAATACATTTTGATGATTAACAAAATCACAATTAATTACGGGCAATGGATTATCTAATCACGAAATGTAATTTCTCGTGAATCACGGTGCAAAGGAGAGAGGAATCGAAGAGGGTAAAGCTTGAAGTGAACTACTTTTGACGAGATTTTGTTAGTATATTCAATTAGATTCTTCGAGGTTAGAAGTGTTGGTCGATATTATATGTAGCGTTGGCACTATGTCACATGACCTAATCACATAACAAATGGTTATACCAAAATAAGCAATCGATTCAAGATAATACAAGCTAATTTTGTAGAACCAACACCAACAAAAATATTGTTCTACCCGTAAAGTGAACTAGCGATATAAACAATAGTGGTTTGCCTTGGGTATGCCTACTCCTCTCTTCCTGCTCCAACAGTCCAGTAGACTACCCTCCACTAGTTATGCCAAGCGTACGCACCGTTATAAATGCAGAAACCGCTATCACGCAGAATTTGACTTCTTTCTACAGCATTTTCGCTATAGACTGAGAAACTATCGGACCCCTCAATAGTCGTTCTCACTTAATACACAGAGCATAGTAGATCCTCTCCCCAAACCATAAACCCCACCTCTAAGTGTCTAGAAAGAATCTTATGCGCGCTTTGTCTCTCACCGACACAAATGACTTCGCTCTAAGTACAGCCACTCCTCTTACGTGTTTGTAAATGGGTTTATCACTCTTGCTAACTTTTAAGAATAACGCTTAAACTGGTATTGTAAGCCTACAAAAGAGATGGACCCAAAAAACTCTTAAGAATGCTCAATTTCTCTTGTTTTTGCCTTTCGTTTTTTTTTTGTTTATCTCAAAATAATCATTGGATGTGACTTTTAAGTCCCTTAGGTCAACGGATGCGTTTTCTCATCGGCCAACATCAATGTGGTGTACCAATCGTCTAGCTCAACCAATGCTTGGTGAAGAATAAATTGGCCATTGTGCTACATATACGAACAATCTCGAGTGTCTATAGTGGGGTTCGGATCTTGTACTAAACAAATCGATCGAGCTAATTGGATTTTTCCAATTTGTTTATGTTCTCCCTTTGTTTAATATGCCTAGGTTTATTTTTCAAAGG